TTCGGCGTGATGAACGAACGCTTAAAGGGGCACTGATCTAACGCAATTCCCCGGGACTGGTTGTTGCCTTTGTTATTGTTTTTTCCCCAGTGAGTACCCGGATGTATAGCAGAAATCTAGACTAGTTCGCGGCCTCTGCTGCGCCATTCGTAAGCGCATTAGTCACTTGTATGGGTAGTAATAAGGGCGTATGGTCACATTGATCAACAAAAGGAAATACAGTTTTCGAGATAATAAGGAAATGTAGGTATCTTTGTGGGTAGCATCGGTAATGGTGACGAAGTTTTGATAAGACACTTGCTTGGTAATTTTGCGATTTTCGTTTACACTATTTTGACTTGCAACACAAAGTAAATATTTCACCTGAGCATTGCTTTTATATAGTGTGTATATTTTTTTACTGTCAAAATGTGTAACATTTTCAAATTTATTAAACGCCTAAATATTCAGTTATTTTACAAAGTGACTGAAAAACATTTCCATCTGTATTATTATGATAACGAATTCCAAACATTTTGATGTTTAATGTCATCACCAAGAGACTGAAAATGTTACGTTGAAAAGTACATTTCTATGTTGTTTGGCTTCTAATCCTACATAATAATCAGTTGTGATGTTTGTAGGCCCTTTTAATCGTCTTAATCAATTTGGACAGATTTTTTAGTCAAAATGACTGAAATATTTACACATTTTATAAATTGCCTGAGAGAATCACGTTTTACAAATTGACGGTAATATATACACGCTTAAAAAGGAAAAGGCCTGTGAAAACAACGTCTATCGCGCATTGAAGAATTTCCAAACCAAGACATAGAGAAACAAGGACGAATCGGTTCAATGTTACAGCAAATGTAGGAAAACAAAATGCAAATACCATAATTACAACCTACCAAATTTATGTGTATAAATTTTAGGCAGCTTCCTTGTTCGGGGAATGTATCCATGAATATCCACACAAAGGAACAATATCCCACTCGTCTGCAGCTGTACAAAAAACCTTATTCGATGTCACGTGTCTCTGTAACAATCACATATTTTTTAAAATATATATCGTTTGGGGATATTTTAACCCGTGTCTGTTTCTCAACTGATCACTTGGATTGTTTCAGGTGTTTCACATAGGTGTCAAGTCTCAAGGGTCAGCTGAGAAAGCCCACGTGACAACTATTTTCATAACGTCCACAGTTCCTAAAAAATCCATTGAGTGATAGATAACAATGATCAATCAATCAACGTATTGTCAGTTAACCCTTTGAACAAAGTATGTTGTTTTAACATCGGCACTTCACGCCATGATATGAGTGTATTCCCTTTGTTTTAGTAAACCTAGACATGTAAACACTCACTTTTGACATATCCACTGTGCAAAATAACAGTGATTAATCAATCAACGTATTTTCTGTTAATCCTTTGATGACTAGGAACGATCCGTTGATTTACAAAAAAAAGTAAATCAACTGATCATACACCTCTTGCTGGTCTGCCACGTGCATATTACATAACACACATTTCACCTCACTTCAAACCTGGATTTAGATTGAATAATTACCCCAGACACAATAAATGCCAAATGGGAACCTTTGTCAGGTAATCTAAGTGGTGCTACCACTAATTGTACCTGTAATAAATTCATTAAGTGAGCCTCAAGTGAATGACGACAAATACACAAGTGTAGGGGTTATACGAGAAAACGTAGATGACAACAAGGGAGTAGATATCGTATTATCGACGCAATCCGAAATCCAAAAATGCTTTCACTGCATGGATACTTTTTTTTAGTATTAAACTATAACCATCTGGGGTATTTCCAAATGACGACATCCGATGAGCTCCGCGGTGTCCTCCCATTAGTTAGACGTCCCAATAGTTAGACAGCTTATAACAACACTTTAAACGGTTGAGTGCACACTAACCCTTATGCTTGTTACCTCAGACTTTAAAATGGAATAGTCTAGATAAGATCTGACAAACAAAGCAAAGCAGCTTTAAATAGATACTTTAATATTATACTTAACATTTAATGACACTTTACATTTGATAAATTATATACAGTTTGGTGAAATGATGGCATCGCTGGGATGCTGGCTTCATCTACTTGAGTGACTTGCTCCTCTAGAACAGAACAGAACTTTATTACGCTCAGCCCGAGATCCTCGGCATAGGAGGTACAAACTGACAGCAAAATACACATTATAATTGCGGATTGTGGTTAGCCGGAAGATTTTACAATTTGCATTACATATTTACAGAATTTACTAAGGTTTTTTAATACAGATATCTCTTTACAAGTGAAAAGTCTTTGAAATTTAATCATATTAGGTCTTTTAGAATATGTAGGTGGGATATACAAAATTCTTTCTTTAGTAAAATATGGACATTTAAAAATATAGTGAAATTCATCTCCAATATCATCAATAAAAGGCAGTTTACATTTTCTTTCACAAATAGGTATCCCATTCCATCTTCCTTTTTCAATTGGTAAGTGGTGGCATGAAGTACGAAATAAAAGTAGAGGGATAGCTTTATTTAGGGGTAGGGACGTCAGATAATTTTCTAATTCAAATTGTGGTTTCAAGAGAGAATAGACTACACTTTCCTCGTGCAATGCCTGCATCTGTGTGGTTTCTTCTCGCGCTCTTTTACGAAGATTGCTGACAAAGTTCACTCTGGTTTCATCTTCAGGCGGATGGTTATGTTCCGACTGATTGCAAAGAAAGTCACCGACAGTCGTACATTTCCCATTGCACGTCTTGACGACACATCTCGAATGTGAGCAGGTTTGCCTCTCGCGGTTTCTGTTGTAAATATATCCATCTAATATCAACTGCTCACTTCCACGCCGAGAGATGATGTACTCTACTTTCCTTAAACCATCCATATCGATACTGATAATGATACGTACCCCAAGATCATTTTTATTTCTTTGATGAGTACGTAATCTAAACTCAACTCCTTCAACTGATCATACAGTAAGACAATTAAGCTACTCCATAGTTTACACAGTAAATCTCATGCCTATTGAACCTGTGCTGAGAGTAAGGTAATTTAGGTTAATTAAACGAAATTATAACATTTATACTCCCTAAACTGTGAGTCCCCTATCCCTACTCAGTACTTTAATCTAATTAGGACTGATCCATTACACCTGTAGGTATATTCCCTCTTTGCCTAAATAGAAATGTCTAACAATTGGGACGTCTAACTAATGGGACGTCTAACTAATGGGATATAACCAGCTCCGCCGTTCTTTTTGTCTGTTTGTTTAGGTTGAAGAAATTAATTAACATGCGCCCTTTGTCGAAATCTTTATAGATCCCGGTTAACCAATCAGTGTTTATGCAAAAATGCGTAAAACAAATATTGCCTCCAGCCTCCAAGTTTATTTAGCTGTCCTTGCAGACGGAAGCCCAGTCTCTGGTCACGCTAAGTTGCGTTGCGTATCATCCGGGTACTCACGGGGAAAAAACAATAACAAAGGCAACAACCAGTCCGGGGAATTCCGTTAGATCAGTGCCCCTTTAAACCACTAGGCTCCCCGACCGCCCCTGGACAGCGAGATGGAGCCATAGGCTGGATTTACAAGCATTGTAAACATAATTTCCTTTTGTGCAAGTGAGTAAGTTGTAAGGTAATTATCACAACTTGGATGGTAATTCGCTCTCATTTCATTGCGATGAAAGTTGTCCGTCTTGGTTTGCGTATTGATCTGCATTCACTGGGAATGACAATTAATTGTACTGAATCATGTCGTCACTTACCGAAGAGTTCGGTATTTTGACTGTCATTATCATTGAACGAAAAGAATGAACATGTCGTTAAGTAAAACTTGGACAATCAAGCCAATTAACGCGTACGTCTTTCGACTAATGGGTAACCAGAAAAGTAATATACTTATCGGAGATGTTTTTTGATCTCACACAAGTTATATTTTTTGTGGGAACCAGTTTTGGATAATAAATACCAGTATGGTTTGACAATACAGACTGATTAAAATAGTTTCTTTATTTGGCTAGTCATAATGAAACTATCCTCTGCTGCTCTCATTCCTGTATGTAGATATGGGATCCGTGAAGATCTTGGGTAGAATAGGTCTTCAGCAACCCGTGCTTGCCGTAAAAGGCGACTATGCTTGTCGTAAAAGGCGACTATGCTTGTCGAATGAGACGACTAACGGGATCGGGTTGCAACGCTCGCTTACTTGGTTGAAGCATGTCATCGATCCCAATTGCTTGGATCGATGCTCATGTCAATCACTGGATTGTCTGGTCCACGCTCGATTATTTACAGACCGCCGTCATATCGCTTGAATATTGCTGAGTAATAACAAAACAACCAATGTAGATATGGTACATAAGATGTAAAAAGTAATAAACTGGGGTGAAATGTAATGACTGCTGTCGTAAGTTGTGATGAATTCTCCTGTTCCTTCAGATTCTGGAGCACTTGTACATCCACTGTTTGTTCGACTTCAACACAGCCCATTTTGACGCCAGTGACATTTATTGCCTTTGTTCTTATTCATGCCGAGAGTTGGTGCGGTAAGTTATAATAAATTCTAACAAAACAAATGCAATAACCTCCCATTCATTCAGGCTCTGACGAACTTCGATTTCCACTGCTTGTTCAACCTCCATTTGTTGAAATAAATAACTGAAACCGAGTCTTTTCCTCTTTTGTTCTCGCTCATGCAAGTGGCAAGTGTCTCGTATTTAGGAATGGCAGCAGATGAGGGATTGGTACATGCTTCTGTTACAGTGCAATGTACTTTATCCAAAAAATGATCACTGTTATAGATGAATATCTACACAGCTAATTGCGAAGACGGGTCCACCCGTGTTCCCGGGTGCATTTTTAAGGCCATATCTTATTTACCTTCATTTTATTGATCTAACATATCCCATGCCTTTACGTCAACCCACGATTACATCGTAAACATGATGATGTAAGGGAGGTAACTCTAAACCCGGAAGTATTTCTATAAATAGAACGCATATGTTAAAGGGGCACTGATCCAACGCAATTCCCCGGGACAGGTTGTTGCCTTTGTTATTGTTTTTTTTTGTGGTACCCGGATGAAATCGCAGAAATCTCGACTAGTTCGCGACCTGTGCTGTGCCACCCGTAAAGCGCACAATCAGCTAATTGAGCAGCGCCACCAAGCACCTGGACTTACTTTCGCGCTGGCTATGGGGCGAATGCGAACGACAGAATCGGCAAAAAAGGAGAAGATTGGAAGAGGGTAGAAAGAGGAACGTCACTAGAATCTGTTTAGGACTGCACCACGATCGATGGAACGACATGCGAGAAAGCACTGGATCAGGCAACAGCGAATTCATCAAACATCTGCTCGATGTTCATGATCAATTCTGCGCCTGCAGCAAGTAAGTATTTCCTAATCACTCTACATTATCAAACGATAAGTCAACACAAAGTTTAGAAATTGCTATTTTTGTGCCTATTTACGCTGCTTTTTCATAGTTTAGTAATGTTATGATTATACTCTGTAAACAAAGTAGCTTCCCGAAACCCGCCCTCCAAATTACCTGAATGGGAGATACGAAGTGTTTGTTTATAGTCGGTTTTTAAACATTGTCACATGTTTTAGTTCCCAGGCAATGGATACAGCTGATCATGAAGTGACTGGCGATATCAGCATCGGGAACACCGCCACTTCCTTGTACGCCTGGACTTTCTTTTAGTACTCCTGTTTGTGGTCACGTTGACACTCCAAGTCCATCTCGTTTTGGTATGTAAACGTTTGTTCATGTACGTTTCAAAATTATATTTTTGCGTGGGAATGAATGATAGAAGTATGATTATTTATTAAATTATTTAGTAATATTATTTCTCAAATGGTACAAAAGCAAAATAGGTATGTTTTTAAAAATAGTTTGTATATTTTCTCCAAGCTTCCTAATTTAGGTTGAAAGGTATATAGTGACACTTTGTTTCGAAATCAAATTGTTGCATTGTCAGCAAACCTGCCCATTGTGTATTGCTGGCTTGCTTACAGCTTATATTGGTCGCAAGGATACATGCTTCTGTATGCAGTCTTATGTACCTGACTGCTTTCTTGTGATATTCTTGCCTGTGTGGCCCATATACAATAACAATGAATTGTACAGATTAAAATATTGTTAATTGACCGGAAATAGGATATACTTATGAAATAATGTGCATGTGCACTTGTAAGTGATTGTACGTGAGAATTTCATGTGTTATCAGGGCTACTTTTGGAGAGGACATTGACAACATCTCGGCATTAGAGGAAGATCTTCTAAACTTGCCCGAATTTGCCACAGATGATGATGACTTCCCCGACACTTCTGAGCCACTGCTTGAACTCATCTCCACACCGAAGTTTATTGGTTACCCGAGTCCGATCATGGAGTTGGTGAAACTGAAAGCCGGTGACACTTGTACAAGACCATACTGTGTTAGTCCGCTCATGTTCACAGACAAGATGTATGGCACTGCCTTGGTTGTACGATGGGATTGCACTTCTGGTTACTCGTGTGGATCCTGGGCCTCACAACCAAAGAGGATGTTTTGTGGAAATCTCCAGCTGTCGACCAGTATCCTCTTCAGTGGCAACTCCTACATGAAGATTCCTAAACCTTGGAATTATTGGCGAGCCAACTTTCTACCAGGTATTATATGAGGACAATAGAATAAATTGACATCCTGTTGAAACTCTAAGACATTAATATTTATTCATTTAGTAAGTAATGAAATAAAAGTACCTTGGTGCTTAGGTACATGTTGACATTCATACATATTTGTTGAAAAATATTTTCCTGTATTACTAAGACACAGGTTAGCTACTTCCTGCAAATACTGCTGCGACCAAAATACAAATAAGTAGTTGATAATGAAATATGCTTTCATTTTAGGTTCAAAGACTATAATAGGGTACATGGTGTGAAGCCCATTTTCCCGTGTGCCCCATGGAATACTGCTAAAAGCGGCATAAAAAACATAGTCACTCCCAGCAGGAACAGACTCTTTGCAGACTTTCTGTCTGGTACAACTAAAAACAACCCATTTTGCTCTGTTTGGGGCATGCCAGTTACAAAAAGGTGTACTTCGACACAGTCTAAAAGTACTGACCGTCCGCATATTCATCATCAAGGATATGTTGAAGTGGTATTATAATTACTGGAAGGTGAGATAGGTGTTTCGCTGTGGAAGGACTCGCTGAAGGTTGAGACTGTGACTCCGCGATTCCAACAGTGCTTTGGTTTTCACCCAATGAACGCCACCTCCACTTTCTGAAGCACTTCCCACAAGGTCAGACATGTCTTTACCAGCCATGTGTTTACCATGGGGACTTTGTGCACTAAAAACCTAGGTTGTTCCAAAACAAGGATTTCGCACTCAGCAATATTCCAGCTATATGACGGCGGTCTGTAAATTAACGAGTCTGGACCAGACAATCCAGTGATTTGAAACATGAGCATCGATCCACGCAATTGGGATCGATGACATGCATCAACCAAGTCAGCGAGCCTGACCACCTGATCCCGTTAGTCGCCTCTTACGACAAGCATAGTCGCCTTTTACGGCAAGCATGGGTTGCTGAAGACCAACGCATGTATCTGACCGCCTACTTTAGCAAACTCCGCTAAAACAGGAGAAAGGTTTACATACATTATTAGAAGCAAGTAAAGGCATGCAAAACAGAACATTGGTGCTTATGGTGAGTGTATAGGTCATCAGGGTGAAAGTTGCTTTTGTTAAGTTAGTATACGTAGTTATATAAGTGCTGGAGTTAATCTAAATTAAATTGTTTTTTTATACTTCTCAAGTAATATAGTTTGAAACAGAACGTGCTGAAACCGAAACAAGACAATTAAAATTCTTTACGGAAATATTTATAAATAACTACAAAATCAACTCGGCCATATAGAGTAGAGTATTGGAAAGTTCTTGTTTCTTTTAATTAAGTTATGCTCACGATACAATGCATTCCGTATAACCACCAAAGTGCATTATCGTTTTTCTTCAATTACTCATACTGACCACTGCCATGATATTATTATACTGGCATTGAATAGTGTACTACCACTCTGTTGTGTACTGCCATTGTAATTGCTGTGCAGTATTTGGTACAGATTTGTAAAACTAGTTAATTTTATAATACAATTGTTGATTGAATACCGCTTGTTGGTTGTTAGTTGGTTTCAAACTGGGCCTTACGTACAGATATCTTTTGAACGTAGGTGCATTGTAGAAGCTGTAATATCAGTGAAGACAGAGTTGACTGACTTATAGATTTGTAAAAAATGAAAGCAAATGCCACCTGATGTTCACTTATAAGTGAAATGCTGAACTTCCTCGTTGATAACATCTTTGTAAAATTTTGGGGAAAGAAGTTTAGGCAAGAAGTAGGCATCACAATGGGCACCAGTTATGCTTTCTTTCTTGCTGAACCTTTTTCTTAATGCATCTGAATCGGAATTTCAGCTTGAAACAAGGTAATTTGTCCAAGACGTTTAATTAAAGCGTCAGGCATATCAACAATATGATATCGTTTAAAAACCATTATATAACCAACTCCCTCCCACTTATTTACTCATTTTAACACCAAGAAATGAGATTAATCTGTTTCGTATTTATATCTATGCATAAAGATTCGCTCTACACAGGACTGTATTACAAAATGAATTACTTCAACTTTCCAATAGTCAACTCTCAATTTATGCCAAGCCATATTCATGCAGCTCCAGCCCATGGTGTTTACATTTCACAATCGAGCATGCTCCCTCTACCAAGATTTAAAAGAGAATCATACGACTCAGAAGTTGCTTGATCAAGGATTCGTCATACAAGGCCTCAGTAAAGCTTTCAAAAAGTTTTATTGTAGACATATGCAGAATAAATTTATAAAACTTAACGCATCAGTCCAAAAGGATGTCCCTATTTTAACTTGTATGATCCCATGTTTTTCAGATGAACACTTTGACTTGACTTTGCATGTGTTTGTGACGGGTGCCACCGGTGGGGCAGGATATGCTCACCGTTTCGCGAACACCTGCCATCATCTCTATTTGATAGTGATTCATAAACACATACTCAATGTATTCTTGGAATCGTACAATCATATTTCTTATGAATATGGAAAGGGTTTGGTCGCTTTTCTTTATAGATTTCAATCTCTTTATTATTTCAATGCCAGGTTTCGGTAAAGGTGCTAGTACTTTAATCAAGCAAGAGATGCATAACTGGGAAGGCAATGTTATGCGGCAATATTACACATTGATAAACAACAACAAAACACGGTGACAAAGGATGATGGCAAACAGTATCATTACCGACATGCCTCCAATAAGTCAATGAGGCTGAAACAATATTAGGATATGAGAAAATGCAGTTTTTCATTCAGTTATAAAATGTTAAGAAAAACATGTTCACTGAATTAATACAAATATTTAAATATATTCGACACTCAGAAATGACCATAACTTTAAGTTAGTTAACTTATTGTTTCAATTTGGAAGTCGACACGTAACAATTTGATAAAATGCTTTTTTTCGTTTTGTTGTAAATTTGAGGGGAGAAAAACATATTCATTGAATTTACACAAATACGACTGTAAAGTATTCGACACTCAGATTTCATTATAACATTTACATGAGTTTTGTTGTTTCCCAAACATTACACACCTAATCAGCTGCAGTCAGTTATGGTAGATATTTATAATTCACACTGGCTTCATTCCATACTCCTTTCCGACCTGGCATAAAGTCAGTGTGAATCATGAATCACTATTCCTGTCAGTCGGGAATCCAGATAAGAACGTCGGTCTCCAGCAACCTATGCTTGGACGTCTTCTCATTCTTTGTTCATGTGGCCGACAGTGAATACTTCGATGATTGTGTATGACTCAAAATGTACCACGTGAAGACAAATAATTGAATGCATTTGTAGTTTTCTAGCTAATCACATCTTCCGTCTTCTCTGCTACAGAACGCCTCTTGTTAAAATGTTCTGTGATTAGGTCAACACACGTTGGGATTCCTGGTAAAAAAATAAGCCCACAGCAAGCCCCATATGCCGGTCGTAGGTGGCTACTAACGTGGGTGGTCTGGCTCGGTTGATTGCATGTCATCGTATCGCAATCAATGTTCCGAGTGTCAATTACTGGATTTGGGTTTCAGATTCAATTATTTACTTTACCTCGTCACATAAGAAGACAATATCTGTGTGAGGCGTTAAACAACAAACAAACAAACAGTAAATTTGTTGAAACACATTGCAATATCCACATCCTAGGTTTCTGTTGTTGGTCCGGATCTGCATGTGCTCAATCTGTTTGTTTTGTCACTGATATATCTCAACAGCATTGATTAACCACCTTGCCACATGCACATGTTATGCCAGAGTTGAACAGAAGTACCAATACATCAATTCCTACACGTGTTGAGCTGGAGTTTCGGAACACAAGGCCTTGTAAAATGTCCATCCCGGTTTGCCGTAAAGTTTAGCCAGTGACACAGACACAAACTCACATGTTCCATTGCCGTTGCTGCTGTCCAGGATATTAAAGTTAAAGCCATCACATGCCCACATCATCGTACATTCAATCATGCAGGTCTTTAAGCTCCCGATGATTTCATACCTGGCTCTGGTCGTGTGATACATCTCTGTGTATGGCACAAAGGTGGACGGGGACCTCTGACTGAAACTGCAGTTATTTTCTGAAAGTGTCAAAGAAATAAAGAAATAATTCATCCTTTCATATATGCAACGGAGTCAGTAAGTAAGTGAGGAAGATTTAACACCGCTTTTGGCAATATTCCAGCAATATCACGACGGAAGACACCAGAAATGGGCTCCTCACATTGTACTCATGTAAGACGGGCCTTAAGCACTATAACCACTAGGATACTCCATCGCCCCTTTGTGCAACTCAGTTTCATGGGTTGCATCAGATATTATTACATACTGCTATTGTACATTGTTATAAATCAGACCACTCACCAATATTGTTGACATTTTCAAATTCCCTAAGTAAGAAGGGGACACGGCCATTTGAAGTTTCAAACTCCCCTTTTAGGAAACAATGAATTAAAAAGTACATTTGAAGACACAATACAAGAATATATAACCCCGGAGTACAAAACTGATGAAGCAATTCATTTTGATGATAATGTCAAATTAAAAATCTGATGCTCTTTTCCATAAAACCTTCTGTTGAAACTTCGAGGTAAAACCGTTTCATTTGGTTTTTTCCTTAAAAAAGACGGACAAAAAAAAGACTGAGCAATTATCAAATAAGATGTCTGATTTTGGAAGAAACAATTAGCAATGACTTTCAAAAGATTAACGAATCTTTGCTTTCAGAATTATCAACATCAAGATGCAGCTAGAACAAATTCATGAAATAGAAGTTAGGGAAATTTTAGTAAGAAACAGTATTAGCTGGTATGAGGATGGGGAAAAACCAACCAATTCCAACCAGGAATTTTACCAGTTAGCTTATAAACAACATTGTTAATGATAAAGGAGATGAAATATCTGATTGTGAAACCATCCTTAACGAATGAGAAGAGTTTTATTGTAAGTTGTATGAAACATCAGATGCACTCGTCTCCGAAAATACCGATGATTTACATAACATACTAACTCCTAACCAACGTCCACAACAGGTTCATAACTTAGAAAAAATACATAACTATGGAAGAAATTTCTAAAACTGTAAGATCAATGAAAAAAACAATAAAAGCCCAGGTATAGATCGGCTCCAAACAGAATTCGTCAACCTTTTTTCGGAGGATTGAAGCAAAGGGGTTCTTAGATATATTACAGAAGTTTTTTGAAACAGAAAATTAACTTCAACAATGAATAGGGGTATTATTACATGCATCCTTAAACCCAATAAAGCCAGAATATTACATAAAAATTGGCGCCCAATATCCTAACCCAAATTCATTACACAAAATATTAAGTACATGCATTGCAAATAGATTTAAAACAACATTAGATATACTTGTACAAGAAAACCAAACCGGGTTTATCCGAGGAAGAGGTATTAGTCAAAATATAAGATAACTCTATGAAATATTGTATGAAACTAGAAAGGTAAACAAACCTCAACTTCTTTTGTTAATCGACTTTGAATAAAGCATTTGACATTTAAAAATAAAAAAAAGTATTAGAAAAATTTGGCTTTGGGCACAATATGATCAAATGGATAAATATTTTAATAAACAACACAACATCATGTGTTATACAAAATGGACATCTCTCAACATTCCTTACATTAGAATGGGTATGCCTGCATGGAGACCCAGCATCACTGTATCTATTTATTTTAGTTGCTGAAATACCAGGATGCATGACTAGAGAAAATACCCACATTAAAGGAATTACACTTATTGATGTTGAACACAAAAACTCGGGCAATATACGGTTGACACTCAACAGTTTTTGGATGGAGACAGTCTGTACGTATTTATTAAGACATTGAGTAATTTCTACGAAATATCTGGTTTGGAAATATATGTAGACAAAATAGCTATCTGGATAGGTGCAATGTCAGGAAGTAATTTTAAGTTGTGTACGGAGATCAATCTTTAGTGGCACACAGGCAATTAGACAGATTTCTTAGACCAATTCAACTCAATTATAAGTATTTGCAAGTTTCTATATACTGACAAAAGAGAAAAAATTAAAAGAATTAACATTATTAGAAAAAATGATTTGGGGGATTTAGAATGATAGAACTTGAAGCATTTTATTGAAGCATAGAACATCTCTAGCCCGAAAAGATATTTACAGAGTAACAGACAAATTCAAAACTTACCAATTCAATGCTTATATTTAGTTATACACTAAGTCTTACTTCTACACACATATCCACTGTTAAAGAATAATGCCTCCACCATTATTTAATATCATAAGCCGTTATGTCATATCGTCCTTAATATACTCTCTGGATACTTTTGAAATTGAATAAAAATTGTTTGAAGAAAATGAAAAAAGAAAAGAAAAAAGAGAGAAGACGTTTTGATATGAGTGTGTGTTCCACTCTGATTTTATTTAATGATCTCGATTTTTTATTTCCCCTGTGACTATCGGAAAAGAATAAATAAAATCCACACCTATGTAATGCTTACTTTACTATCCACACTTATCGGCTGTGCAGTGTCTTCTATATTAGTAACATATATTATCTAATCTAATAGTTGCATTCCAATTTAAGACAAAATATCTCATTTCAATATGATTAACCTTGATTATAAGGTTTACAAAGACAAAATTAATCGTGTATGAGATCTTTAAAATGCAATACAAATCAATCAATAGGAACATGTTCCTTCGGTTAAACCACCTATGGTGTGTTGGGCTGATATATACAGCGAGATGACAATTACTGTTAATGATTCGTTATCCGAATAATAGTTAATCTGAATAATTAACAAGGTTCACCTAGAAAACATTCAGAATATTGTTTTGCTGACCATATATCTTTGGGTGGACTGCCACTTCACACAGAGTTAGCCTGTCCTCACTATTCAGATGTTGCCTCTTCTTTATCCGGACATAGCGCCCCTCAACGGGATACATGCATCTAAGAGTTACTGTAACTGCACTCCCAAATTCCCCAAAGAAGGAATAACACATCTGACCGTTTGCTTCAGGGTTTTCAACTGGATCAACTGAGAATACTTCTATGTCAAAGTTGTGAAGACGCCAGTCTGAAACCAAAATATTGTGTAAGAATGCTGTAAGTTTTCACCGGACAGGGGAGTGGAGGTGAGGGGGGGGGGGGGGGGGGGATATTGATAAAGCTTGAGACTTTTCTATGAATGAATATTAGTGGTAATATATATACTGTTACTTTTGTGTGGTACCTGTGTGAACGTTTCTTATAAATTGGGAAAAAGCATCTGGTTTCAACTGGCCACAGAACACTTTCGCGGACATGACGAATACGGAGTTACAATGGCTTACAGTTAAGAGTTATGCCCCCTGCTTTATACATATGTAAACCGCTCCGCCATTTTTTTGAAGATATATTTTCGCTACATAAAACAAGCACATTTTCGTTTAAAATGTGTCACGTTATACATAACCACATAAACACTTTACACAAAGCTGTCAAATAAAACGTTTTGTCGCACTGTACTTTATCTTTGTAGGATAAAATGTGATTACATTTTTAGAGGTTCTTTCGTTAGCAAAACAGTAACTTGCACAGCACACGATTCCGACTATATCATGTTTTTAAATCACTATGAAATAGTGATGATACCAGGTGTTCGCGAAGAGGTGAACATACCCTGCCCCATCGGTGACACCCGTCACAAACACATACAAAGGCAAGTCAAATTTTTCATTGGAAACTTGAAGTCATCCCTATTGCCATATAGTCTTGTGGAAAGTGTTTTGTCACTTTGAATCTTTATGCATATATCTAAATATGAAACAGCTGAAGCGTTCTCAATCTTCTTTATTTCTAGTTCAGGAGGATCAATCATTGGAAGGGAATTGCCTATTTGATGATTTTTTTTACCGATATCAGATCATTGATACGCTTGAAGCTTAAGTTAAACTTCTTCGCCAAGTTATCTTGTTTTGACTTGCCAATCCGAGCAGAAGTTCTGATTCGAATGCATAAGAAAACAGATCAGGAAGGAGGGGAACGCAATTCCTATTTCTTGCCTAAATGTCTTCTCCCCAAAGTTTACGTAGATTTTATCAATGAAGAAATCCAGGATTTCAGATATTGATTTCAGATGGCTTTCATTTTTGACAAATTGACAATTATGACTAATTAGCCATTCCTTTTTTAATTTTCTTTCCACAGAAAACCGATTTTGATATAATTTCGATTGTGTTCGTGGAGGCACGGGTGGCCCAGTCGTCTAAGGCGCCGCGATTTGCTGTGCAGAATTTCGTCCCTTGGCCACGCCAAAAACCTATGTTTGTGGGTTCGAATCCCGGTTCGCCCCGATTATGTATCTAGGATTATCAGCACTACACCCGTCCTCATGCGTTTCACCGAACTGGTAAACGTCTGAGACCTGCATCACTTCGAGCTTTCCTCACGCATTAAGCTGACACGCCGCGATATAACTGGAATAGTGTTAAAAGCGGCGTTAAACCCAACTCACTCACTCACTCTTGTGTTCATTGCGGTCCATCAGCTCTGAATCGCGTTGGTCATCACTATTATTAGTTCCAAAGCTACTGTCATCATTGTTTTCACTCACAGCTTTCATTGGAACGATCGGATTGTGCTGTGAGAAGACGGTAATGTTTGTCAAGTAAAGCATAACAGTCAACGCATGTCAGAAGTTCGATGCACTGAACTCGATACACTGCACACAGTATATTAATTTAGCATAACCGAATCCTCGCACCGCAACATGTTCAATGACACAGACGGAAAGTACGGTCATAAGAGTTTCATTGCAAACGAGGAAACTGGCGAATGAGAAGACGGCGGAGCAAATGTCAGTCAAGTTAATTATATAATATATATAGGGTCGGTCGGGTAATCGGAACCGCAAATCTTTCTGATAGGCCTGGGTAGCAAACGACGAAATCCTAGCACTTGCATAATATACTCAACAACAAAAGTTCCTGTGACACCAATATTTAAGTGTATTTTTCAAACAAGTAAAGTTTGGTTTTCAATGTTGTATTACATGTATGGAATCAAGTCACAAAAACGCAACTGCTACAGAAAAGCATTCATTTCATGCAAAAGTTGACTTTTATGCAAGCCCCATGCATTTCACTACCCATAAAAACATGTGCGTTAACGGGATTCCATATGCATTGTTTAGCATCGCGCTGACAAAAACCAGTCTGAAAAACAACAAAACTACGCAATTATTCAACATTACGAAATGCCACGCCTGTCCGAAAATGAGCCTCTGCGAGCCATTGGTATGTTTAAAGCAGGATCGAATCAACGTGATGTTGCAAGACAATTTAACGTCCACAGAAACACCATTGGACGGCCATGCAGTGGGGACAAGTTCTATTCACTGACAGCGATGGACGGATTCGAGTGTACGGACGTCAAGGTGAACGTTACGTCAATCATTGTGTCATGGAAGAAGATCGGTTCGGGGGCGGCAGCGTTATGGTATGGGGTGGGATTGCAGCAAGACAGAGAACCCGTTTGATAGTGGTAGAGGGAAATCTCAATGGACAACGCTACCGCGACGAGAACATCGGCCCTGTTGTTCTACCGATTTTGCGTCGTCATGGCCCAGGCATCACCTTTCAACATGACAACGCCCGGCCTCATATTGCTCGACTTGTTCAGGATTCCCTTCAACAAAACATAGTGAATGTCATACCCTGGCCAGCTCGCTCCCCTGATCTCTCACCAATCGAGCACATGTGGGATGAGATGGATCGGCGTCTTCGACGTCAACCACGTGTTCCACAGACACCACAGGAACTTCGAAACATGCTCCAGCAGATATGGACTGATATCTCACAGGACTTTGTGTGACGCCTGGTCCATTCCATGAGACGAAGATGTGTTGCTTGCATCGCAACCAGAGGTTGATTCACACGCTATTGCTTTGTAAATTGGCATTTCGGTATGTTCATGTTTTTTTAATGAAATCTCGCATTTTCTGAAGTCAGTATGGCAAATTAAACCATTTGAACACTTACAGGAGTCTTTTATCTGTTGCAAACCGAAATTGTTTCAGATTTGGTAAAAAACATAACTTTGCATTAAAATCTTATTCAATTTCACAGGAACTTTTGTTGTTCAGTATATGTATACAACATTTCACAATTCTCCGAAAATAAATCCAAACTTTATTTCCGGATGTGTCCGAAACGCAAATGACACAATCTTTCAAATCCTGAATAGCAAATATTTTTCGGCACTGCAGAGTAGTGAAAACAAAATATATTTTAACCCAAAAAACGGTTTTTATCAAGAGTGATTTAACACTATGGTATAGTTTCGTTCATAATCGTCGGTTCATAATCATACGAAATATATCGTGATGTTATTCAATGTGAATGATGAATACTCACCAAATTCGCTGAATCCTCTGTTCACGATGGTGACCGCCTCAACGGTAACGACCTTCTGCAGATCCACCCGCCACCACGGCAGTGGATGACTACTGGTTGCGGGGCTGTACGTACATGATAAACCTTCGAAGATAAGTTCTCCATTTCCGTCCACGGCTCGCCCCGGAACAGCTGAATTCCCAATAGCACTCTGGACAGTAGGTTTTCCACTGGCAACGTTGTCAAAGCAATATGCTGAGAGAAAGAGAAGAAATTTCAGACCAGTACTTCCAACACTGAATGTCCGAGACTTTAGACCAGTAATTCCTACCCACATTAGTATTAATAATATTAATAATTACATCTTCTCTAATAGCCTCATTGATGACCCCACTGGAGTGCACTGATATAAAAACAAGCACACACCCTCAAGCATGTATAAGGTTGTGACGTAGTAGATTATACAGAGTTTTCGTCGAATTTCATATCTTAGTTTAACCATGTGCTGATGTCTGATATCTTTATTATGCTCAAAAGTACAGATGGATGTTGATTTCCACTTACGATTATATTCTGAGGGGTTGTCAGATCTTCTCACACAGAGGTATGTATGAAGGATTTTGGCCTGACGGATGGGCCTACAAACTGTTGGAGCCCAAATGCTCATATGTCTTTGATCGTTTCAGCATAGGAAACAAGTAACTTTTTTGAGAGGCATTTAGGAAACATGTGTTTAAGCAGTGCAACAAACACGTTCTTTACAGATTAACGATTATTGCACGCCCAACAGTAATTACGGGACTTACCACAGACAGAAGAAAAGTAGCGAATGATGACCACCAGCATTTGACTGTAAAACAGCGCTGAAACATGCATCCTTCCCTGCGCCGATTGTCACCCCACACAGACGGATAAGGATAGTGCTTTTTGTTTTGACTTGCTTCCAAGAAACGCAGTCTTATTTATGGTGTGTCATTTGCCATATTCAAACGTTCTGTGTTGGTCAATGTTCCGTATAGACATGTAAATAAATAAAGGACAAGATCAATACTAGTATTCGTGTTTGGTTGGCTCAATAGGTTCTGTACAAACTTTTGAATATTTATTTATTGCCCCAGGGATAAAGGTTTTGTCTACCATGTCACTATACTTTTCAAAAGATTGGACAACCAATAGGATGGACGTTTAGTGATCTGATTAACTCTGAGCACTCCGAGAAATAGACGTCGATGGAGTTAATCTTTAATGTGAAGCTGTGGCAGAATTGTTTACGTCGTCATGTGTTTGTCAGGCAATGTCTGAAATGGAGGGCCAAGTACACTAGACTAAAACTGGGACTAAAAATGGTTTACACATGCCGTTGCAGGAAAGTTGTTTAGTTGCCATGTTATTGACATCAATAGTATGCAAGGGAGATCAGAAAATATTACATCCCAAATCCATGATTATATTGTAATCTTCTGTAACATACCATCTGCTAATATCGTTATGGGAGTGAATGAACATTTTAACGTCGCATCGGCATTATTTCAGTCATGGCGACTAATATCGTTATGAGAAGGCCAGAAGATAAAGGGCAAGTAAAGGAAATAATTATTATTTTCGATTTTGTTGCGAATATCAACTTTCCTAAATACATGAAGTCAATTTTCGAGAAAAAGTGTACTCTTCAAAACGAAACGCAATACGGATATTTTGGGCCATAAAAGCAAACTTAGCGGACCAGGAGGTGCAAAATGAAGAGGTTTAATGTGTTAAAGTGTCAGTGACAAATTTTCCGGATCAAAAGCATCACAACAAGGACATGCAAACCATTAGTCGGGAAACACGTACGATTCGGATAAACGCACACAGTGCATTAATAAATGGGCCATGGAGCTGCACGTAATGCACGTGCAGCAGCACTATCAACGGTATTATAGTGCAGGGAGTTTGATTGCCTGGCATCTTCGTCAATCGAACAGTGACTGTTCAACAACATGGCAAGATTAACAGAAGTGCAAATAAACAACGTCATGGGCCGCTTGCAGGCAGGGAAATCCCGATCAGCTGTAGCCAGAGTTTTCAATGTAGCGCCCAGCACCAACACAAGGCTATAGGATCGGTTTCAACAGTATGGGTCAATACGGGATCGGACAAGGTCGGGACGACCAAGAGTAACCACCCCGCACCAGATCGCTACATCCAATTGCGCCTCCTACGTGAATGGACGACCACAGCCACCTCAAACGCATCCCAAATACCCGGACTGCGCAGAATCGCCGACCAGACCGTACGAAACCGTTTAAGAGCAGGTCTACGAGCAAGACGTCCTGTTCGACGCGTGATATTGAGTAGACAACATTGTCAACAACGACTGCATTGGTGTCGTCAACACAAGGTATGGCCTCAACTGCGTGCAGGAAGTGGACAGGTTTGGTAGCGCTATGATGTGGGCGGCTACCTCTCATCATGGCCGGACAGGTTTGGTCCATATCCAGGGCAATCTTACGGCTCAACGATACATCAATCAAGTTCTCCACCACACGTCCTCCCATTTTCAGCCAATGGCAACGGTGTATTCCAGCAGGACAACGCTCGACCGCATACAGCACGGATCACAAGAGCCTGTCTACACAACAACAACGTTAATGTTCTCCCCAGGCCCTCCAGATCCCCGAATTTGAACCCGATAGAGCACCCGTGGGATGAATTTGATAGACGGCTACGCCGACGTCATCCACAACCCGAGACTTTGCAGCAGTTGGCTTTTGCTTTGCAGGCCGAGTGGGCTCTCATTCCCCAGGATGTGATTCGCATACTCGCCAGGGGATGTCAGGCCGCTATCGATTCCATCGGGGGACATACCCGTTATTGATGGTAGCTGACCTTCACCTTCGACTTTTCCTATGTACCGATAACTGAGATCACTACAATCAACAAGTGTTCTCTCCATAACATTTTGGCTCGATACCTTGTACGGTTCCTCGTATAAATGTATTTTCCTACCGCGCAGAAACTTGGCTTTGCGTTTCTTTTTTTTGACAGTATATTTAATGTCCAAGTGAAAGTGTTGAAATCAGACGCCCCGTAATCGGTTTCCAAACAAACCTATTTCGTGGCGTGTCCCAAAGCTACATTTACTATATAAATCTATCTTACGTTATCTACAGGGGCCACGGATGGCCCACTCGTCTAAGGCGCCGCGATTCGCTGTGCAGAGTTGCGTCCCTTGGGCACGCCAGAAACTTAAAATTGTGCGTTCGAATCCCGGTTCGCCGCAATTATGTTTCTAGGTTTGTCAGCACCATACCCGTGCTCGTGGGTTTCACCGAAGTGATAAACGTCTGAGACCTGCATCACTTCGGACTTTCCTCCCACATTAAGCTGTCACGCCGCAATATGACTCGAATACTGTTAAAAGCGGCGTTAAACCCAACTCACTCACTCACTTAAGTTATCTTCGGTTAAGCCGCTATTAGGTTACGTTAAGAAGCGGTCAGCCGCAATTCAAACAACAGTCAAGAGCAAATCTAAGGGTGTATCTAATTCTGGTAATTCTGCAAAAATAGCCACTCTGCATGCATACTATGGATGAGCATTAATAATGAGCCGTAATGCGAATAAAAAGTCTGAGGCGGAAAGGGGGCAGGCTGGGCGCTGGCCTGGTCTTTAAAATTGCGTAGCCCGACATGGGAAGCCGTTTTAACCCCAGTGGAGGATCGTTTCGTTTCAGCGACGATTTAACCAAACATTTTATCGTCTGTTTTACGCTATTTCCGTTTTAGAAACTTAGATTTTGGTCAAGCATTGGTGATTAAACATGCCCTAAAATATGAAAATCTGCAAAATGACCCAGTTTACTTGCCCTTTATATCTTAAGAGTTATGGGAGCCAAAGATTGAAGTGGCAAGTTTTCACCAAATTCGATGGTCGACTGGAACTAAAGTCGCGTCTTCATGTCAGTGAGACACAGAGATCTTTTGAACTATCCTTGACAAGAAAATCATTTGCACCAGTGGTTTTATACTTGTATGGGATTTATTGTTCATATATTTTTACGCCAGGTGATGCAAGGTTACAGTTTACTTATTTAAAAAGTCCCGAAATGGAATTATCTTTATCTGAACACAAGGCATCCTCGTGTTTTAAATACGAGATGTTTGTTGAAACCTTGCCTTTACGCTTTGAATAAACACGTATACATTACAATGAAGCAAACGTTTCCCGAGGGGATGCATGAAAGTACAGAATGGAAACTCAATGAAGCATTAAATCTTGCCGACTGGCGCTCTTTCTTGACGTCATAATAATCAATGACACAGTGGACAAAACGTTACTGTTGTTATATTGGTTTGTTTTTGTTGTGTTTTTGCACGAAAGTCAACATCATTCTAGGTGTAAGAAAGCGGGCTCACAAACTAGTGGTTGATATCACGAGCAGCGCCCCACGCCATCTGGGTATGGCCACGCGAAATCAACTAAGTCAACGTTACGTAGGACCCGTGGAGTTCCGGGGTAGAATAGGTCTATAGCCACCCATGCTTGCCGTAAAAGGCGACTATGCTTGTCGTAAGAGGCGACTAACGGGATCCGGTGGTCAGGCTCGCTGACTTGGTTGATGCATGCCATCGATCCCAATTGCGTGGATCCATGCTCATGATGTCAATCACTGGATTGTCTGGTCCAGCTTCAATTATTTACAAACCGCCGTCATATACCTGAAATATTGCTGAGTGCGGCGTTAAACAAAACACAAACGAGCAAACCGTTACGTAGATGTTGTCATCTGTAACACAAGCTCAGAAACTTACCATAGGGTACAACAGATAAGACACCTGTCCTGAAGATCAAGCCGTTATGGACATTAAGTGTGACGGTGGCCCCAGGATCGTGACAGCAAGTCACAGATGTATCATGATATATATTAATTTCTCTAGTGCCCTGACTTCCACAATGATACAAGTCGCAGATGTATTGTACCATGTATTTACTAAGTCAAAGGTGTAATTCTATGTGTGACGAAAGTAACTTAGTCCGCTATGCTAAACCTACTTTACAACATTACGCAATGCACGTTATTGTCAGTTTAATCAAATATTTCCCAAATGCGTGACTATGTTGATCTCACATAAGAAAACTACAATAAATCAAAACGGATATTCGTAGATATCCAATATATGAGTGAGTGAGTATAGTTTTACGCCTCTTTTAGCAATATTCCAGCAACATTACGGGGGGCGTGACGAGCGGACGCTTTAACCACTAGGCTACCCTCAGTAAATGATGTTAAACAACTTTTTTGTTATAATATTTGTAATTTAACGATTGCAAAGATTCGAGTAAAAGTGGTAACTCGTTCATAGTGAAATACTCCAAAAGGACAACAAAACAAAGTTACCACGTGCTGTCGATAAGAAATTTTATACCACGGATATTCGTGTACATATATTTCTAGTGTGAATATCGCGTTAACGTTGCTGTGAGTCATGATACAGATATTACGTCGCTGCCTAGATAACAACATTACTTATTCTTTAAGTAAATCAGTTGATTATTTTACAGTTTGTTGCAACCATAAATGCACACATTAATAAGTAATTGAATAAGCTGAAAAGATGGTTTAAATATGATCATACTTGCAAACAATTAAATCAATATTATATCGAAACAAATTTTAACGATTTACAACAAATATCACAGATGTTCAATGTCAGTTTTAAACATATGTATCGTAAAACAGTCAAACGCAGATCCTAAGACAGCGTCATCAGCTCGGCGATCAGATAGTGGTGGGCATGGACAGCCTCTTGTGGTTCGAGGCCATGGTTCAGTCTACGTGGAATTTCGTGAATAAGATTCTGCAGTCGTTCAACAATAGATAATGGAAACAGTTTTGTTGCTTTTAGTGAGTGAGTGAGTATGATTTGACGCCGCTTTTAGCAATATTCCAGCAATATCACGCCGGGGGACACCAGAAATGGGCTTCACACATTGTACCAATGTAGGGAATCGAACCCGGGTCTTCGGCGTGACGAGCTATCGCTTTAACCGCTAGGCTACCCGACCGCCCCTTTGCTGCTTTAAATTAAGTTATGGTCATATAATATCAAAAGTTTTATTCTTTAAATACTATTCTATGAAGCAAACATACTTGAGCGAAGGTGTAAACTAGCTAATACTATCTCTCTGTGTTCTTGCTGGCACAAATTCATGTTTAGTTGTTTGAATATTCAAGATTCAAGATTCTTTATTTCAGTATTGGAGGCCTCGCAGCCCAGAGTACAATACATTTACATCTAATTTATTTGTGGATCTCACACAGTTGACTTACAATGTTTCCATGATATTTGACGTAATACATAATACATACAAATATTATGTTTGTTTGTTTCTTGTGTTTTTCAAATTTCTCTTTAGGTACAAAGCAAGACCTTTGATTGTTGAATGTGTTGTAGAGGACATTAGTTCAATTATTTTTTGACGAGAAGGATGTTTATGGTAATATTGTGGAATAAATGTATTTCTACTTTGCTTATAGTATGAACAGACTAGTACAAAATGGTACTCGTCCTCAACAACTAATTCATCACACTGGTCACAGTATAGCATCAGCTGGTCAACAATTGTCTTCGCATTATTTTTACTATAACGCAGTTTTTTGTATTTTCAAACTATGCGAAAGAGTGCGGAACTTAGCTAATAAACAGATCAAGTCTTTATCTAAAACACCCGAATGTCAATGTCACGTGTCGGTACGGGTGCTAGTACCTTTATCAAACAAGCGATGGACACAGGGTAGGGCATGGTTGTATAGCGATGATTACACATAGATTAACAACAATAAAATTATGCTACAAAATGATAATAGCAAACAGCATCATTCACCATAAGAATCCAATAGATCAATATAATAGAGCTGAAACTGCACACAAATATTGTTATATGACAGTGTAATGTACTGTTAAACAATGTTGTAACTGTATTATATTGTTTCTGTTAAGATTCACTAGAATCTAAGTGGGCAAGAGCATGCCTTTCCCCTCTCGTATTACATCAAGACCAGCGATTGTGTGAAGATCATATTTTCACCCTTGATATCCAGGCTGGGGTTATTTTGAAAGCGTGACCATTTTGCTACTAGGTGAATATTATTATCACTGACTTTATTGCTATTACCAATGCTTTTACATTTTATACTCCATTGCTTTTACGACTGGCCAGGATATAAAAAGTTCTCATGCCCACATCCTCGTACATTCAATACTGCAGGTGTTTAAGCTCCCGATGATTTCACGCCAGCGTCTGAAAGAGAAGAACTTGTAGACCATTGCTATTATATGCTGAATGAAAGAGAAGAACTTGTAGACCATTGCTATTATATGCTGAATGAAAGAGAAGAAATTGTAGACCTTTGCTATTATATGCTGAATGAAAGAGAAGAACTTGTAGACCATTGCTATTATATGCTGAATGAAAGAGAAGAAATTGTAGACCATTGCTATTATATGCTGAATGAAAGAGAAGAACTTGTAGACCATTGCTATTAAATGCTGAATGAAAGAGAAGAAATTGTAGACCATTGCTATTATATGCTGAATGAAAGAGAAGAACTTGTAGACCATTGCTATTATATGCTGAATGAAAGAGAAGAACTTGTAGGCCATTGCTATTATCACTAATATTAGGGCAAACCTGTTTGGTGGCGTGAGCTAAAGCTATAAGCACTGTATACTCTTTCTTGTCATTCCTAGCAGATATACGGATACGCAAGGAAATGTCCAGACACAATTCAAACCCCATTCAAAATTCAATCTAAACCAGTGGCTATTTCTGTCAATCCTGAAAAAGGAACATTTTTATCGTCGTCATACTTGATCCTGTTCACACTTTGAATTTCACGTTGGCAGATAGAAAATAGATCTAATTGTCGCACAAACATATTTCAAGGAGAATAGGTCTTTTGTTACTTCCAGTGCACTTGTGGGAATCATTTTGTTTTGTCTCACGTCAGATGTAAATGTTATTGTCAGAAACAACAATAAGTGGGATTTGAGATGTCGAGGGATCTGAAATAATCATGAAATCGATGATTCTATTCGTGTCAATGAGTCCAAGCTTCAAGCCGCCAGTTAAAAATCAATGACACGGTGGACAAAGTTTAACAGTTATATTTGTTTTGTTTTTGTTTTTGCGCGACATTCAAAAATATTCTGGCGGTACAACATCGGTTTGTAAGTAATCGAATCAGTGGTTGATATTATGAGCAAAATCATACACAGTCGGGGTACACGCAATCAACCAAATTACCGTTACGTATAAACTGTCCATTCGGTAGAACACATAAGACACAAAAGGCGACTTTGCTTGTCGTAAGAGGCGACTAACGGGATCGGGTGGTCAGACTCGCTGACTTGGTTGATGCATGTCATCGATCTCAATTGTGTGGATCGGTGCTCATGATATTAATCACTGGATTGTCTGGTCCAGACTCGATTATTTAAAAAACGATTTTTATCGTCGTCATACTTGATCCTGTTCACACTTTGAATTTCACGTTGGCAGATAGAAAATAGATCTAATCGTCGCACAAACATATTTCAAGGAGAATAGGTCTTTTGTTACTTCCAGTGCACTTGTGGGAATCATTTTGTTTTGTCTCACGTCAGATGTAAATGTTATTGTCAGAAACAACAATAAGTGGGATTTGAGATGTCGAGGGATCTGAAATAATCATGAAATCGATGATTCTATTCGTGTCAATGAGTCCAAGCTTCAAGCCGCCAGTTAAAAATCAATGACACGGTGGACAAAGTTTAACAGTTATATTTGTTTTGTTTTTGTTTTTGCGCGACATTCAAAAATATTCTGGCGGTACAACATCGGTTTGTAAGTAATCGAATCAGTGGTTGATATCATGAGCAAAATCATACACAGTCGGGGTACACGCAATCAACCAAATTACCGTTACGTATAAACTGTCCATTCGGTAGAACACATAAGACACAGAAGGCGACTTTGCTTGTCGTAAGAGGCGACTAACGGGATCGGGTGGACAGACTCGCTGACTTGGTTGATGCATGTCATCGATCTCAATTGTGTGGATCGGTGCTCATGATATTAATCACTGGATTGTCTGGTCCAGACTCGATTATTCAAAAACCGCCGTCATATAGATGGAATATTGCTGAGTGCGGCGTTTAGCAACAAACCACCCAACCAAATCTGAATGAATCTTTTATTTGTAAAGTTAGTGTTGGGAAAATATGTGTGTCTTAAAATATCATAACTTGTCAATAACTGGATTTTCGGTTTCGGTTTCAATAATTATACAGACACCTGTCATGTTACAAGAACACATCTTAGTGAGGAGCTAAACAACAAACAAACAAACACGTAAGCTGCCAATTAGTTGAAACAAATACATGAAATACAACATTCATATCCTAAGGAAGAGAAAATAAGGATGTCAGCTTCGTCATTATGAGAAACAAAACGTTTCGGAGAATATACTTACTCCTTCATACTTACTCACGTATTACCTGAAGGAGTAAGTATATACTCCAAATGCTGTGGTCCTCAAAATAAAAGTGTTGACATCTGTTCCTTAAGTGTATCACTTCTATATGCCATTCAAAGACTTTATTCACATCCTAGTTTTCCTTCTGTTGGCCAAGATTTCCATGTGCTCAATATGTGAGTTTTGTTACTGACAGTGACGAACATTAACAGCCGATTTGTATGTTTGCAAGGCTATATCTCAACAGTTATGATTAGTCACCTTACCAATTGCACACTGCAGAGTTGAGCAGCCGCACCAATGCATCAATTCCTACACGTATTGTGCTTGAGTTTCGGAACAGATGGCCTTGTAATATGTCCATCCTGATTTGCCGTATAGTTTTGCCAGTGACATAGCCACAAACTCACATGTTCCATTGAGATTGCTGCTGTCAAGGCTATTAAAGTTAAAGCCATCACATGCCCACATCATCGTACATTCAATCATGCAGGTCTTCAAGCTGCCGATGATTTCATGCCTGGGTCTGGTCGTGTGATACATCTCTGTGTAGGGCACAAAGGTGGACGGGGACCTCTGACCGAAACTGCAGTTATTTTCTGAAAGTGTCAAAGAAATAATTCGTATTTCTATTTGCGAAACTGGTATTGATCGGTTATATGGTATTCATCAGATATTATTACATGATACAATATGGTATTACAAAACGATTATATTTCCCTAGCAAGTGTTTCGGGACAGAAATCAGTTAAATCGACGCATTTACTATCCACACTTATTATCTGCAGTTCAGAAACAGTGTCTTCAATGTAAATTATAATAATTTGCGTTTTCCTTATGATTATCAAATGGTCGTATAAATGATCTCATTATCAGTGACATTTGAGGAATAAAGTCTAAAGTGCTCGTTTATGAGATTGTTTGTCCAACTTAATAGGGTCATCCTAATGATTAAAATGGGAACTACAACTACTACCACCACTACTACTACTACTATAACGACTACTACTACCACTACTCAAAAGAAGTTAAAGAAGACCCGACGTTTTTTATATGTTTGAATTTCATCTGCCATGGCTGGTCGGTATTGCAACGTTAACGCTCAGCCTTCCAACTGTGGGTGTTCTTTAAAGTGTCTTCAGAAGTGGTATACTGGTACAAAACTCCCTAACAATTTTTAATCTGAACAATTGACAAAGTTCAACTATTAATCATTTGGAATATTGTTTTGCTGACCATTTATCTTTGGGTGGACTGCCACTTCACACAAGGTTAGCCTGTCCTGACTATTCAGATTCTGCCTCTTCTTTATCCGGACATAGCGCCCCTCAACGGGATACATGCATCTGAGAGTTTCTGTAACTGCACTCCCAAATTCCCCAAAGAAGGAAAAACACATCTGACCATTTGCAGCAGGGCTCTCAACTGGATCAGCTGAGAATATTTCAATGTCAAAGTCGTGAAGACGCCAGTCTGAAACCGAAATATTGTGAAAGAATTGTGTAAGTTTTTACGAGACATTAGTTGTAAAACTGAGCATCAAAATCTAGCCACAAATAGGCATCAGCATGATTATCATGTAGTCTTTAGTAGTAATACTCAACCTTCTTATGAGAGGCCGGTGGATGATGAAGATGAATGGAATTGGTTAAACCCCAAAAGAAGTAGGAATTACCTACTTATACTCATTTGATGTATATACAAAACGTAAATGCACAAAACCTTATTATTTATGCAAATACTGCACAAACAATACATGGCGAGTGAGCTTTGCATTTGAAGCCCAGTTTTGGACTCAATTCCTACCCTCAACTTACAGCTTCGGAAGCGAACAAAACGAAAGTTTTACATTCCTGAATTGCAAAAGGCACCAATTTAGCATTTGCGGTATGCGTTAACAACGTTTGCTGAACATGTTGAAGTTAGGGAGTTAAGCTTCATTTAAACGGAGTACAATTTTTGTCTTTGAAAGGTAAATTCGCAAACTAAATATTACGACCTGCAAAAGGCATCTGTTGTCTGATTTTGTCTCCCTTTGACAATAATATTGAACAGCTTGTGACTTAAGATGCGGAAGTGAACACTACTTTCATTTGAACATATGTTGCCTTACGAAAAGTAAACAATAATAAAACATTAAACACGAAGTAGCAAAAGGACGAAGCCCTTAATAATACTACTAAAAATGCCTACCATCTTCAAAAAATCCTCAATAGCAATAAGCACTTTCAGTACTGTAGTGGTTATATACAGATTCCACAGTTTGCTCCTGAAACGAGCTACTCCGTTTAACCTACCGTAAGTCTGAGAATAAACGCCACTTCAAAGGACGCAAAAACGAAGCCTCGGAGAGAGACATTTTAAACGATAAAAACTAAAAAAAACTACAAAAACAACGCCTACCTCGTATAAACGCTTGGTCAAAGGACATTCCGTTATAAATGCAAGCACTACACTTTTTCGAATTTTTATTGAAAACACTGATGCGAGGAATCAACCCGGGTAGGCGGGGCAGTCTAGTCATTGAAGTGTTTGCTCATCACGCCGGAGATACAATGTGTGAAGCTAATTTCTGGTGTCCCATACTGTGATGTTGCTGGAATATTGGTAAAACGGCGAAAATGGACGCAACAAAGGCCTGTCCATTATTATAAGAAATCCATGAGCATTTGTTTCTTAATTACTATTAAATCGGTGAAAGATGTATAGTGTATATGGACGAAATATATTGACTGTATGTGTGTTTTACTGTTTAGGAGCTCAATGTCGACCAAAAGTTTTAATGTCTCATACATAAAAAATACATCGTGATATTATTCAATGTGAATTATGAAATTTTACCCTTTTCGCTGAATCCCCTGTTAACGAGTGTGACCGCCTCGATGTTTATGACCTTCTGCAGATCCACCCGCCACCAAGCCAGTGGATGACTACTGGTTGCAGGGCTGTACGTACAAGATGAACCACCCCATTTAACTTCCCCATTTCCGTCCACGGCTCGACTCGGCACACCTGAGAACCCAACAGCACTCTGGACAGCAGGTTTTCCACTGGCAACGTTGTCAAGGCAATATCCTGAATGAAAGGGATAGGTGTTTCTTGTTTGTTTGGGATTTTAGACCAGTACTTCCTGTCCACACTGATATGATTAATAAAACAATTCTTCATCTAATTTGGAATGTATAAGCTTTGCATATGAAGTAAAGAAGAAACCTCACTGGTATGCATGAATATTGAAATAGGCACATATATTCAAACGTCACATCTTTCACCTCACAGGGCTTAATTTGCATCACTATTTCGCCTTTTACGCCCAATGAAATCTGCTTCTTCGGATAATAAGTATCTAGTGTTGTGTTATATTTACAAGTCTCATTAAGTTTGGTAAATTATGTTTTCAATAGGGGTATTCAAAATTTCACACAAGGTATTTTCGATTCATTAGGATGTCATTTACGGAGGAGGTCAAACCTAACTTTCGGTCGCATTACTGTCTTTAAAAATTCCATATTTCAGTTTAACCGTGTAGTGAAGTCTAATATCTTATATATGCTCTATATTCTAGATGGATACGGACCAACATATTGTGGGCAGCATTTAAAAATCATTACGGATGCTGTCGAACCATATGCCAAAGAATGTACCAAAAGAGAAGAGAGTAGATGCCTGATGTTGTTATTTGAAGAATGCGCAAATTGAAAAAGAGGAAACAGCATTGGAAAAATCCAATTCTGTCCCAGCCAGCATTGATCAAAGTCTGGCTGCCCTACATGGAACGTTTGTAGCTGGTCCCTCTGACAAGACCTTAAACAATCATGACAAATATATGTAAGCATGACTACAGTATTTTGTTTTATGATAGAGCTAGGTATGAGTGACAAGTCAAATATTGTCACATATAAGGCCAGTATGTTAACCGGGAAAAGAATCTGTGAAAAACACGCATCAGTACTATCACCTTTTGACCTGACTCTAAAACCTAGGATATGTCCATTCCACTTTTATACTAGATTCCAACGCTCAATACATATCTATACAAAGCATGTTGCTGCGTCCAGAAAAACGTAATGTACTAACAAATCTCTGTCTCAAAGATTAACGATAACCTTTAATACAATCAATGAAGGAATTCTATATATTCGCAGAAAGTATTTGAGCAAGAAGTAGGCATCCCCATGGGCACCAATTGTGCTCCCGTTCTTGTTGATCTTTTGCTTTATGCATACAAATCAGAATGACTGCTTGTAATTGGATTGTCAAAATCAAAACGGGTGAATTTGGCCAAGAACTTTAGCATGAGCTCCAGGTATATCGATGATCGTTCAATAACGGTCAAAGAGCCTAGTCCCTTTGAATGATGTACCCACCTGAACCAGAAATAAAAGAGTGAAACTGTCTCATTTGTTTCATATTTAGATCTATACATAAAGATTCAGAGTGATAACCAATGAAAAATAATTGTATGCCATACAGTAATTGAAGGACTTACCGCAGACAGAAGGAAAATAGTGAAGGATGAATCCCAATATTTCACAGCACAACAGCGCTGAAACATGCATCCTTCCTTGTTCCGACCATCCTCTGCCTACACAAAGTGATAAGGAAAGTTAGTTTTGTTTTGACGCACTTCCAAGGTAACGCAGTCTTGGTATTGATACGTCACTGGTCCAATACAACGGACCGGTCTTTTGGAATATTCTACAAACATACATACAATAAATGAAGTACTTGATCAATACTGTTAGACTTGTCTGATTGGCTAACAAAGTTTCACACTACATGTATAAATAAAGGATATTTCCCTCGTGATAGTCTGCATCCTTTTAAACAGAGTCGCCGAGCTCAATACAATTTGTTTCAATTTTCAGGAACAGAATCGATGTACGTTTTGTGCTACAATTCCCTTTGACTTTTATGCTAACTGACAGAGCAGTTTTTTTGTCTGCCAAAGTCATATGCCATTACAGGATGGTTTTTTTACTGCCACGTTGTTGTTGCCATCAATAGTATGCAAGGGGGGTCAGAAAAGTTAAAATGGACAACAGAGGAGAAAAACGTGATCGCGATGTTGTCACGAACATAAATATTCCTAGATTCATTACCTTCTTAGAAAATGTTTAAATGTCCAAGTGAAAGTACTGAAATCACACGCTCCGTAATTTGATTCCAAAACAAACCTATTTGGTGGCGTGGCAAAAAGCTACATGTACTATATTATCTTCATCTGATGCTCATTATCAAAACAACAATTAATTTCTGTAACCAGCATGTTTATGACTGACCTCCTGTTTGCGTACAATAAACCACCTGCTGGTCCTATTCCTCACAACGAATGCCTATCAGGGATTAATCTTCTGAAGGCATCTTCTATGTTGTTACTATTTTTGGGCATAAGGTGTGGACATGGTTCAGACAGAAAAGCCTCGTGATGCAATTAAAAACTCCGAGGCAGAAGTTGGCAGACTCAGTACCGCCTAATCGTTGAAATTGTGCAGCGCGACCACTTACTTACTTACTTACTTTGGAGATTTAACGTGCGCTTTCCGACTGATGCGTATTTCGCACACGGGCCCGGCCAGGCCATTTAATGTGTTTCCGAAAGGGGCGAAAGAGGTCTGTGCAACCCAAGAGGGGGGTTTTAGGGGTTGCTTATATAGAATTTGGGAATTTTGAGATTTGGAATAGATGCCGATGGGATTGGGGAGGGGAACTAAGGGACCTGGGTATGGTGGATGTTTGTTTGTTTATGTGATTTTGATTTGGTAGGTTATTGTGTTTTTAGATGCGTTTTATTAGTTCCGTTTTTATTAAGAATACGCCTAAGGCCTTGAAGTTTTCTAGTTTATTTTGTGGGTTTAGTATTGCTTCTAGAGTTAGAGCCTTGTTTAGATTGAGGGTGGTTCGATGTGTTAGGTAGTGTGTGCAGTGGATGAGTGCGTGTTCTGGGGTTTCTGGTTTGCAGTGTGGGCAGTTACCTGTAGTGTGTTTTTTGAATTTTTTTAGGTGGTTATTTAGGTTGGTGTGTCCTGTTTGGAGTTTAGTGATTACTCTGTCGATTTTTTGGGATGGATGGAGAATTTTTGGTTTGGTTAGTGATTTGCTGAGCACTATTTTGATTTGGCTATTTGAGTTTAGATATAGGTTATGCCATTTTTTGTGATTTTTTGCTTGTTTACACTTTTAATTTCTGATTTTGAGATGGGTAAGTTTAAGCTTATTTCTGGGATTTTGAGGGATAGTTTAGCTGCTTTATCGGCGTTTTCATTACCGTATATTCCTACGTGGGCGGGTATCCACAAGAAGGTTATTTGTTTGCCTGCCTTAGTTAGGTCGTTGTAGCTTTTAAGTATTTGATTTATTAATTTAGGTCGGTTTTTGGTATTTTTGTTTTGGAGGGCTTGCAGTCCACTTAGGGAGTCAGTAAGTATTAGGATTTTTTTGTGTTTTTTGGATTCTTGATTATGGAGGGCTGAGGCCATGCCCATTGCAGCGCGACCAACATAGGGAACTTGTTTTAACCCAGGTTACTTTTTGTATCGTTTGTTTTACGCTATTTCCGTTTTACAAAATTGATTTTTGTGATTACGCTTTCCCTACAGTACTGTCAACGCGCTTGTTGACAGGGAATTAGCTCTTTGGGGAATAAAGAACAAAATCGACATCACTGACCCGGAACGCTTTATGCACAACATGTCAACAATAAACAACAATTGCACTATGAGCGGAATACCTGCTCTGACAACACAAACACAGCGATGAGCGGACCTTCCTGCTCAGGCATACATGAGGTGATCGGAGCTCCAGCTCACCTCAGGACGTTTCCTGCGAGCGGCACATCCTACTCGAGGTCGTCCCTACACCAGCACTCGGAATACCAAGCTTGACTAACACATATACTAATGGTAACACATATATAGTAATGAACAACAATGGACAGACAAAGAGACAACGACGTTGCTTTGGACATTGGACATATGGGCGTGATGAACCGACACAGTTCTGGGGATGATCAATTAAGGCAATAAATGCCATACTATAAAAAGCAGTAGTTAAAGGGAAGTGATATGGTAGTCCAGGCTGACTGACAGTCAAAATACAATGAAATGTTGGTGAGGATTAACAACGGGGATTAGTGTCTTAAAAATAATGACAATTAAGTTATGGAGACATATACATGTCATGGCTACAGGGTAATTAGCCTTTGGAGTCAAATGTACTTTAGACAATGGTAGTCGTAGATCAGTCGCTATGACAGTACTAAACTCTGCAAAATTGTTACGTTCAGTTTACCTAGCCTTTAATATGAAGGGATATTGGAGCCACAGAGTGAAGTGGCAAGACTTAACCAAACCAAAGACATCTTCAAGCCAACAAGTGAACCACAAAGCTTCATTGAACTATCTCCCTTCAACCATTCGTACTGGAAACGAAACTCATGGTCAGGAGTGGTTCTTTTCTTGCATCTGGGAATGATTGTTCATTATATATATTTACGCCATGATATGTTTATAGTTTACTTTTTATAAGCCCCGTGAAGATCCGGGTTGGAATAGGTCTTCAGCAATCCACACTTGCCGTAAGAGGCAACTAAACTTGTCGAAAGGGGCGACTAACGGGATCGGGTGGTGAAGCTCGCTAATTTGGCGTATCCCAGCGTATCCAAGTTGCGCGATCGATGCTCATGACATCAATCACCGAGTTGTATGGTCCAGATTCGATAATTTACAGACCGCCGCCATATAACTAGAATCATGTTGTGTGCAGTGTTAAACAACAAACAAACAAACAAACTTATGTATATAGTCCCCAATTATTATGTTTATATGAACACAAAATGCATAGAATACGAGATGTCTGTTACAACCTTACGCTTATGCTTTGCATTAACACATGTACATGCCAATAAAGCAAAATGTGTGTCCCGAGAGATCGCATGAAAGGATTTGAATGGAAACTCAAGGAATCATTAAATCCAGACGACCGGCCGCTTTATTATTTTACAGCATGATATATGACTTGACACCTTTTCATCACGTCATATTTGACTCTGTGCACACTTTGAGTCTCAGGCTGGCAGACACAAATTAGATCTTATGTTAACACAAACATAGTTTATGGAAAATAGGTCTTTTGTTTCAGGTGAAGTTTGCAGATGCCCATCCTTGGCACTGTAATACAGATTATACACAATTTATAATCTTGTAATATAATATGAACCCCTTTCTTCCCGCAATAATTAATCCTGTTCACACTTTGAATTGCACGTTGGCAGATACACAATAGACCTAAGCTTCACACAAGCATATTATTACTTGTGCACTTGGCTGCAGTGATATATATTATTCAAAACGATATGCTGTATTCCCAAACTGGTAAACAGTTCTCGGTTGTCATTGCGAATCGATTTACCCGCGGGCATCCTTAAGTTTGTTTGGTCTCACGTCACATGTAAATGTTATTGTCAGTAGCAGTACTGGGATTTTAGAAAAATACCTGAGGTGGATCACCAAGATGGTAAACAGGTCTTGGTTGTTACGCACAACTCATTACGAAACGTTTGTGGTATCCTTCAGACGTTATTGTCAGTAACAGCGACTGCTTGGGTTTCCAATGTCGAGGGATCAGTCGATCAATCGATCAATCAATCAATCAGTCAATCAATCATACATTCAATCATACAACCAACCAACCAATCAATCAATCAATCAATCAATCAATCAATCAATCAATCAATCAATCAATCATGAGGTAGATCATCACTGGCATGATCCATCGTGCGTCCTCGATACGACATGTAACGTCAAAATCAATGACGCAATGGACAAAGGGTTGTTTTTGCTCTACTTGTTTGATTTAGTTGTATTTTAATGTGGTACAACACATAAGACACGAGTCTTATTTTAGAAAGTGCTGTTATGGCAAGCATCAACTAAGAAGTGTGACGATGGTCCCGGGATCGTGTATCCCCAGTCTGGTGAATTTACTTGCAGGCTACAGTAAGTCAGAGGCCTGTTATGATGTATCTTCATTTCTCTTGTGCCCTTGCTTGAAAAATGCTTCCATCGTATAGTACTATAGATGTAAATGCCACTCAAAGAAGTTACTATGTATGTATCTATTCAAAGGTGCAATTTATTCTGTACTCACTACTTACTTTGTTCGTTGTGACAAAACCCGTAAAGATCCGGGGTTGAATAAGTCTTCAGCAACCCATGCTTGCCGTAAAAGGCGACAATGCTTGTCGTAAAAGGCGACTAACGGGATCGGGTGGTCAGGCTCGCTGACTTGGTTGAAGCATGTCATCGATCCCAATTGCGTGGATCGATGCTCATGATATCAATCACTGGATTGTCTGGTCCAGACTCAATTATTTACAGACCGCCGTCATATATCTTTAAAATTGCTGAGTGTGGCGTTAAACAACAAACAAACAAACAAACAATCATTGTGACAGAAGTAACACATTACGCATTGCACGTCAGTTTAGCCCAAGTGTTCACAAGTGCATAGGTTGAACTCCAAAACAAATTGTTGTTTCTTAATAACAGCAATAAATCAAAACGAATAATCAGGAATATTCAATACACGATGTCAAATAACGTATTGGAGATTTGAAAAAAGTAATTGCAAAAAAAAGATGTAATCATACACCACGTGCCGCCATTTAGAAATCTGATATGATTTTCTAGTTAACGGAGAGTCACGACACAAATGTTACTTAATTGCATTACTTAATCTTAAAGTAAAGCGAACATTTTAGTTTGTTGCGACCATAAATAGATCACATTCATTTAATCGACAGAATAAGCTGAACAGAAGGTTTGAATATAATCATATTTGCTCACATTAATAAAGGATATTTCATGTGTCGAGTGAAATATCCCGTTTCTCTCATCGAGGGACGGGGGAAGGAGATATCGAAAATATCTCCTTTTCACTCATCACAAGATGGAATATTCTATTTATTATATACTTTTTTGTGTGTAGATGTCTACCGGAAAATTAAAATATTTCAATACCAATGTAAAACCTTGAAACGTAAATTCTCCCTACCTTACACACAGGGACGGTTCACAACCCCTTGTATTTGATACTTTAAAAGTAGTTTCGTGTTTGCAAAATCTTTAAAAAAAAATCAAAAAAATCTGTATCATACAATTAGATATGATTATATACAAAATCAACTTCAACAAAAAATAGTCTTGAAAAATTGGTGACCGCTGTTGGAGGCGAAAGAATACACGCTGGTCATGTAACAACAATGCCGCTTTGCGAAACGAACAGACTCGATTGACGAGTCAAATGAGAAATTTATAGACTAAGTTTATAACAAAACATTTTGGAGAGAAAAACAAACGGCAAGAAGTGATATTTACTCCATAAATGACAGTCTGTCATTATTTTGCTTTCTGAATGTTGAACTAACGTAAAAAGGACGTCAAAAGTTTGTGTACGGGCTAGCCATTTACGCTAAAGGGAGACAAGTTAAGGGGAGGTAACACTTGTATGACAATAGTTCTGTCAAAGTTCACTGCAGTGAAAATATCACTTTTCCCAACTTCTGAAAAAGGTAAAAATGAATATTATCTCAAACAATTTACACAATTACAACAAATATCACATAATGTTCAATGCCAATATTGAACATATGTATTGTAATCAGCCAAGGGAAGATCCATAACCTGAGGCAGCTACCAGGAACCGTCACCAGCAAGTCGACCCGATAGTGGTGGACATTGGCAGCCTCTTGAGGTTGGAGCCCATGATTCAGTGACTTCTTGGAATATCGTGAAAATGTCGTGATGAGAATATGTAGTCCTTAGATAGGGTAAATTAGGGAAAAGGTTTCGTCTTGTAATTAAGTTATGGTCGTGTTGAAAAGACGACGTGTATTGCAGTTCTGCACTGTACGTTGGGTACTGTAGATGTAAAGTGTGATATACATCTTTACTCATTCTTACTCTCTTGAGGTCCGGTAACATCTCTCTCTGTGGGGGCACGGGTGGTCCAGTCGTCTAAGGCGCCGCGATTCGCTGTGCAGAGTTGCGTCCCTTGGGCACGCCAGAAACCTATGATCGAATCCCGGTTCATCCTGATTATGTTTCTAGGTTTGTCAGCACTAAACCGTGCGGATGGGTTTCACCGAAGTGGTAAACGTCCGAGACCTGCATCACTTCAGGCTTTCCTTCCACATTAAGATGACACGCCGTGATATATCTGGAATACTGTTAAAAGCGGCGTGAAATCCAACTCACTCACTCTAGTTAGTTGTACAGTACATGCGTGATACACGTGTGTCCTGGCAGTTAGTGACATCTGCCATCACTGATGTAGGTACTGGTGCTAAAGATGTTGAAAGCTGTCTCACATGAAGACCGTTCTTCCTCAACTGGTCAACGTGTGACCCTTAAATATTTGAATAACAATTCTATGGTATGAATGGTATTCTATGGTATATATTCTGAAACATAATACAAAAATTAAATCTGAAGTTTACACGATATACTTCTCTTCCATTGGACGGGAGATCGGTCACATGACCGCGAAATGGACGTTCATTAGTGTATGAACGACACAATTTGACGTTCATGCGTTTTCACGCGACCTTATTCTTGAAACACTGACGGACTACTTCCCTAGAATTCCCTAGCACAAATATACACCGAAGCGTTCTTTCTGATCATTTTAGACCCTTTAATCATGAACTCAGCCTTTTAGTATACATTGAGAAAATTGAGAGAAAATGACTGCATGATCGTTCACGAATATCCTCGCTACGACCCATCCAAGTGAACAAAACGAAGAAATGCACATCCAAACTATCGTAGTATCGACTCAATCCGTGTCTTGGCTGACAGTGACAGCAGTCCACAGCAATCTATGAATTTACCCTTGTATCTATTTGACACATCTTTAATCACCTTTCAATGATCGGCCAATCAATCAATGATGACTAAAACACATGTACACGCCACAGGTTAATTGACAACTTCTGAAATCTCTCCTTACAAGTTTATCGTGTCGGCCATTTTGACGTCTTGTACTTGATGTAAATGTATTACCTCAAGCTGTCATTGTGACTGACTTACTGAGGTAGTTCTTCACCGACCTTTCTCGTCAAATGGTGACATTATTTGACGACATATGTTGTGTCAGATGTTTCTCAAGGGCAAATTATGCATAGATACGCTCATGTCACCTCTCTCTTTGACGTTCATACAGTTTGACCCTCACTCTATGAAGGTTCATACTCCAATGAACTCACACAAAGTTCAAGTCAATTCTTAAATATATATATATATACATTGTGATTTACATTTTTAACATCAGTGTCAAGAGTTATCAAGAATCTTTGTGAACTTGTACTTTTATTCGAATTCAAACCAACTGAGAAAAAGTAGTAACTGTTAACATAAATATATAATTAACGTCAATGCAAGCGAATGACCATTCTTGATTGTCGACCGAACAAGATTCAATTTGGTGTAAAGGGCAAAACAAATGTGAAAATGATATGAATAGTCCAGTGAATTCTGTGATAACACCTAGTGCTATCGAAAACTTCCCATGTAAAAAGTATTATTACAATAGAAAGCAAGCTTGATACAGAGAGGACATACATAAGTTATCACGTTGAGAGAAGAAACGTGGTGATGAGCCACGTTTAACAAAAATCAGTTACCCCCTTTCCAAGGAAGAAGGCAATGCATACACTGATGCTTATATATCGTAAATTGCGTGTGTGCATACAACTGTGTTTGTGCAGGTAGGTCTGTGCACTTGTGTCCTCTTCAGCGGTTTGTCATTCGTTATAAACGTGCCTGAATGAGTCAGTTCTGTGAATTGATTTGTGTGCATACTACTGTGTTGGTGACGGTACGTTTCTGCACTTGTGACCACTTTAACTTTATCGCTGTATATGTGGGCTGCATCATTGTGTATGCCTTCATACGTAGCATAAAAAAGTAAAACATGTCACAGGGTATTTGTTAAAGCAATATTAGTTTTCGAGAAGAACACTTTTTTGCCTTCAAGTGCTCTGTTAAAAAAGCCTCCTTATCAACATTTCCTAATTTTACAATTTGCAGAAATGCTTCAGATCGTATCAATACAAAGCTGTGTGATGTCTCCATCCAAGTTACCCTCCTTGTGAATTACATTTTTAACATCAGTGTCAAGAGTTTTCAAGAATCTTTTGTGAACTTGTACTTTTATTCGAATTCAAACCAACTGAGAAAAAGTAGTAACTGTTAACATAATATATAACCTTCATTTGTGTGCATACTACTGTGTTGGTGACGGTACGTTTGTGCACTTGTGACCACTTTAACTTTGTCGCTGTATATGTGGGCTGCATGATTGTGTATGCCTTCATACGTAGCATGAAAAAGAAAAACATGTCTCAGGGTATTTGTTAAAGCAATATTAGTTTTCGAGAAGATCACTTTTTGCCTTCAAGTTCCTTATTAAAATTTCCTAACTTTCAAATTTGCAGGAACGCTTCAGATTGTACCAATACAAAGATGAGTGATTTGTCCATCCAAGCTACCCCCACTGTTACTCCATGTGCTCAAGTTCTAACAGTATCTAAAAGATATGTATGCTGTTTTCATAAACCTCAACATAACCGATAAAAGCAACTTTGTCTTTGACACATGTCAAGCTAGGGTTGAGCAACCCTGCCGACATACTATTTCCTATACATGTTTTGCTGGAGTTTCTTAACACATGGCCTTGTAAAATGTCCATCCCGGTTTGTTGTACAGTTTTGCCAGTGACACAGACACAAACTCACATGTTCCATTACTATTGTTGCTGTCCAGGATATTAAAGTTAAAGCCATCACATGCCCACATCCGTTTACATTCAATCATGCAGGTCTTCAAGCTACCGGTGATTTCATGCCTTGGTCTGGTCGTGTGATACATCTCTGTGTAGGGCACAAATGTGGACGGGGACCTCTGACTGAAGCTGCAGTTATTTTCTGAAAGTATCAAAGAAACAGTGAATACTTTCATATGTGATTATAATTATACTTATTTCTCAGTTACGTTATTGATCTAATATATTGTCTTCATGCTCAAGAAGTAATTATATATAGATCACGCATTATTACAGTATTACAAAATTACAGTTTGTTTTTTCCTTAAGACTATCAAATGGTCAAATACATCATTTTTCTAATAATTGCATTCCAAAATGCATCATTATCAGTGACATTTGATTTTAGAAGCGATAAAGTATAAATTACTCGTTTATGACACTGTTCACCAACATACCATCTCAATTAATTAAATAAGAACATTTTGCAACTTCAGTTGAACTCCCGTTGGTGGGTTGGCCTGATCAATACTGTGAGATGACAATTACATTTGGCACCGTCAAGGTCTAAACAAGGTTCAACTATTAAACATTTAGACTATTGTTTGACTGACCATATATCTTTGGGTGGACTGCCACTTCACACAGAGTTAGCCTGTCCTCACTATTCAGATGTTGCCTCTTCTTTATCCGGACATAGCGCCCCTCAACGGGATACATGCATCTAAGAGTTTCTGTAACTGCACTCCCAAATTCCCCAAAGAAGGAAAAACACATCTGACTGTTCTCTCCAGGGTTTACAACTGGATCAACTGAGAATACTTCAACGTCAAAGTTGTGTAGACGCCAGGCTGGAAACAAGGAAATGTATATGTGTAAAAATCATTTAGGTACACGTATTATCATGTCGACATAAATTGTTAATTAAACGTTCATATTGCATGGGAATCGCGACACTGGTCTTTTTGTTGATGAGACCACACAAACCAGTGAATAAAATGCACATATGAACCAGTCATCGAGAATCAGGGGTTCGAATCCCACATTTACTATGATCAAGACAGCACCAGCTGGTTTCAGCGAAGAGGCAAACATATATGACATGAATAACCTTCGATTCTCCTCTCCCCTCGCAGTTCAAAGCATGAAACCACTCTCACACTCTCTGTCACCACAGCTGATGTGGGATCCAGCCAATGTATCCCGTCTGTCAATGCATGCCTACCCAATTCGCTGAATCCTCTGTTAACGATGGTGACCGCCTCAACGTTAACGACCTTCTGCAGATCCACCCGCCACCACGGCAGTGGATGACTACTGGTTCCGGGGCTGTACGTACACGATGAACCTCCCCAGTGAAGATCTCCGTTTCCGTCTACTGCTCGACCTGGACTTGCACTATACCCTATAGAACTTTGTACAGCAGGTTTTCCTCTGGCAACATTGTCAAGGCAATATCCTGAAAGAAGTAAAAATAACATTGTTGTCCTCAACAAATAGGCAGGCTTTAAATCCTGTTAGTTAATGTACCAACGGAAAACGTATCTGTGCTTCATTTGAAGTGATATACATGTTATGTTATTGAAAGTAACAACATAAGTCATTCATCGGAACAATATTTTATCACAACACGTTCATTGACAAAACCAATACCTAGTAACAGGAGACAGAGAGACACGCCCTAGAAACTTCTATTAAAAAACGCTCAGCGGGGGGTTGTTTCAAAATAGCACTATATCTCAGTCACTGCGATAAGCATTCTGTTGTTTGAATTAAAAAACAATGAAGTTTTTCCTCAAATATATCAAAGTACTATGGCGAGTTGATTGCAAAATGAAAACTCTCCGAAAGTATTTGTGCTAGCTTACTATTTGTAATACTTTCAGCGCAAATTTAACAGACGATGGCTTTGGCGATAGCAGCGACCACATTTTCGGAAGACGGATGTTGAATTTGTAAGACGTTTTCTGATTGGACTATCGAAATGTGCAAAGAAAAGTACGCTTGAAATGGCAAGGGTGGAAACTAGACTTAGTGGACACGCTTGCCTTGGAAAGATGTTAACGTGGGCTGACATTATCCTGCTGCAAAGTGACGTTACGTCCCTGCATTTGCAGAAAGAGTTGAACGTGATCTCGAACGATGTCGTACATTACGTCATTCAAATTTAGGAAGTTTTCATGATGAGTTTGTTCTCACATGAGCTGTGATTCCACCCCATACTATTACATGAACCCCGTACATGAAATTGCACGCGCAAATTGTGAATCACGACATTAAAGTCGAGGATATGTCTTTATGAATATGTATTGAAAAATGCATTATAATAATTTCAGAATGAATAATTTTTATTGAATGTTATATGAAGCACAGCTACGTTTTAAACATTAGTGTCTCATTAATATGTCAAATGATGGATCAAAGACAAAACTGGAACAAAAATAGAATTTTCAAAATTGACAATTTTAATAGGATATCAACAAAAACGAATCGAAAAATATTCAAATCAAACATTTTCGACTTCAAACCAAATTTCCAACACATTAAACAAAAAATAACCGATTCATATTAGATCGACAGAAATATAATGTATATCACATTCACAATGTAAATACACACAGTTCATGAAATTGTGGTCCCCCTGTCGCCATCTATTCGTGTAAATCCACGAACTTACACAATCCAACGAATATGTCTTGCCACCCTGACACTGGAATAGTTTTGTTTGTTATTATCTATAGAATAAATTGTTATACTTTGTAACCTGTATGTATTTAAGATTGAATGTGAACTGTATTGGGTAAACTTATTGTTTGTGTACTCCAAAAAGTAATAAAATAATATTTTTTTTAAATATGTCACCTGGTCGGATAATATGCGCTTTGAATTAGGACGAAAAACTCCGACACAGTTACAGTTTCCTCACTACCATAAGTGGAAATACAAAATAGCACCGCGGTGTAGCCAACAGTTACTAATGTCAACAAACGTTGCAACTTAACAGATTGACATCCAAATAGTGTCTGCATTTATGCGGAGGTCTAAAATATGATGTCATCATGAGGCGGAACATACATGAAAACTTGCCACAGTTCGGCTCCCCTACACTGGTACAGACTCAAATATGCACTTTGACAGCGTTTAAGAGAATGGTAAAAACATGTATTACTATTTACCATTTAATATGTTGCGTTATTTACCAGAACAGGACATGAGCATGTTCCGCGATCGATTTGTGGCAAAACCTTAGGATAAATGATCGTTTCCATATTTTTTGGAAATAGATCCTTGTTTTTTTAAATATCCCATACCCCAAAAGTATTTATTTGTACAAAAAGCCACTTTGAAGTGCTGATGTTTATGGAAAGTTCATCCTTATAAAATACAATCCTTCGCATTGGCTGTCTCTGTCCCGGGTAGTTAAAGATATCAACAAGGTGTTGCCGCCCTGTCCCCCAGCGATGCGTGAACAAATGAGTAAAGGAACACTTGGGCATTCGCATCAATTGATGTATTGATACGAGGGGCGTTCAATAAGTTTTGCAACTTCAATATAAGACCAAGTCACAGAATATCTTTTGCACTTTTATTTTTCAATATAATCTCCATTCCCCACAATAAATTTATTCCATTTGTCTTGATACCTCTTTTATAGACAGATTGGCCCTCTAACCACGCCTCTGTGGCAGCCTTTATGTCCTCGTCATCCTGGAAGCGTCTTCCACGTAGGGCAGATTTCATTTGCCGTAACAGGACATAGTCACTGGGGGCTAAGTCTGGGCTGTAGGATGTTTGATTTAACTGTTCGAATCCACATTCACATACGGCGGCTTGTGCATTTCTCGACTTGTGAACCGGAGCGTTGTCATGCAAAAGTAGAATACCATGTGTTAACATCCAACGACGTTTCTGGCGAATAGATTTTCGCAATTTTTTCATTACATTAGCATAATACTGTCCATTGATTGTAGTTTTTGATGGCATGTAATCAATCGGTAATATGTCTCTTGCATCACAAAATATGGTGGCCTTTACCTTGCCAGCCAATGGTTGAGTGCGAAACTGCCTCGGAGGCGGAGAATTTTGGTGCTTCTATTGTATGGATTCCAAATTAGTTTCTGGGTCCCAGCGGTGGATCCATGTTTCATCACCTGTAACTAGACAAGAAAGAAATCCGGCTTCATCCGCAGTATAGAGATCCAGGGTGTCTCGACAACCTTCAGTTCTCTGATGGCGATCTTGAGCTCTGAGGTTTCTAGGTATCCATCTTGCAGATATCTTGGACAAGATGCTCATGAATAATGGTTCCAACACTTCCAACTGATATTTGGAATTCCCAGGAAGGTTCAGATACTTTTACTCGTCGGTCAGACAAAATTCTTCTTTCTGTAGGTCGCACGGGGGCCCAGTCGTCTAAGGCGCCGCGATTCACTGTGCAGAGTTGCGTCCCTTGGGCACGCCAGAAACCTATGATTGTAGGTTCGATTCCCGGTTCGCCCCAGTTATGTTTCTAGGTTTGTCAGCACCATACCCGTGCTCGTGGGTTTCACCGAAGTGGTAAACGTCTTAGACCTGCATCACTTCGGGCTTTCCTCCCGTATTAAGCTAACACGCCGCGATATAACTGGAATACTGTTAAAAGCAGCGTTAAATCCAACTCACTCACTTCTTTCTGTAGCAGCAATGGTTTCCGGTTGGGTGGCATCTGAAGGCCTGTCTGACCTTGGGTCATCGTCTATGGAGTCCCTAACCCTTTTAAACTGTAGAGACCAAAGGCAAACTGTGGAATAGTCAGGAGCACCCTCACCTATCACTTTACACATGCGATCATGGATTTCGTTTGCTTTGCATCCCTCCTTGGTAAGGAACTTTATTACAGCGAGTTGTTCATGTTTGAGAGAACCGATAATTGTGACCATTCTCAGGTGAATGAAGCCATCACATCTCATCTAACTTATTGTTGTGTCTGGAACTTGTTGTGACACGTTTCAACCTGATGTTATGACTAGCGTTACACCTACCACAAGTTGACATTCTTTGTGTAAACACAAATGCCCAAGTTGCAAAACTTATTGAACGCCCCTGGAACACTTATTGATTTTATGAATAATTGCGTAGTAATTGCATCTTGTGCACTACAAAGTTCGACTTGTTTGTCGAGCAGAAAGAATAACAAGGTACACATAATGTATTATAGTTCATTGACGACAGTATAATTGATTTAATAACTAACACAACTGAATAATTATTCATAGACATCATTTGATTGGTAAGCAAGCAAGTACAGCATGACAATTGAACATAAAATATATCTGTAACCGTAAGCTAGAGCTAATGGTGTCCAAGATACAGGAATACAGTATCTCAATTCCAATGATTATCACAAAAGTTATTGATATTATTATTAATTCTATTCGAATATTTTGCCTATGACAACAACATCGTGGACTTATTGACATTTTCCATGTTGATTGAGATACTAAATGAAGAGTTGCCTTACAAAACTGGCTTTAGGTTACATCCATGGGTATAAAGGTATAATTTCTTCTAATATTGTCACAATTTCTGCATGTAATTAGAAAATATAAAGGATCTTGAAAATGGAAACGACATTTGCTATGTGATCTGTCCGTAAAACTATAAAAAATAAATTATATGAGCATCTAATTTGCTGCAGCCGAGTCCGAGGCAACAATGCATAATTTGCATGTAGAGCAAACGTTTTAGTCTATATACTTATTTGTAGGGACAGGGCCTTCGATTTAAGTGCTACATTCACTTAATGAACAAGCGTCGATTTAAGTACTCGGGATAAGCTTTCAACTGTTTAATCGCACAAGGAAGAGCCGATTTTGCGAACCTTTGGGTCCTACATGTACAGTTGATTGCAACTTAGATCCATAACTAAGATTATAATTGTAATTATCTGATACTTGAGCTGGTGAATACGTTCTCTGAGATATTAAGGTCCGATACCGGTATTCGTTTTATAAAAGTTCTTCAATTTGAAACGGTATCTTCTTTCTTTTAGAGATTTGAAACTTGTTTCATCATAAGGTTTCTCACGACTGGTGCCACGAACCGTGTTGCAAATACTACTCAGAGTTCCAAATCGTGTTTTCTAACAATAGAGAATGTTCGTTTGTTCAACTGCCCCCAAAATGACAACAATAGTAAAAAATGGTATGAAAGACTTATACATGTTCTCTATATCTGTTTATCTAGATAATCAGTAATTTAAACAAGAGCCACAAACCACTTACCATACTCATAAGAAATATCTGCAGAACTTATTGTACGATTAGTCATGCGCATGTGTTTATGAATCACTATCAACTAGTGAGTAAACCAGTTAAACCCATATTAAGTTAATATACAGTAGAGTAAGTTAAGGCATACTTATAGTGCATATCAACACGATAGTTGTAAGAAACCAGTGGGAGGAATAACTCTCATGTTGATACATCTTGCCATCGACATATGCCATATATGTGAAATAAATGAATATAAAACGTCAACGCCAGAGAATTATAATTCTCAATTATTCTCGATTATCCGATGAAACAGGATCCATTGTGTATGAAAGGTAAAATGGTGGCGACATTAACATAAAAGGATGACCGCAAATGAGCGATGACGCCAGGTGTTCGTTAAAACAGGTGTACATACCAGAATGTGAATGTAATACTTGGTTCCGAATGGTGAAATTTCTATTTAAAAGTCTCTTGTCTCTATCGATCATTATTAATATTAACGACAAAACTCTTTTCATAGTCAATAACAATCATGATTATAAAAGAATATATTATTAAGGATTTGCACTGGATATCATTTTTGTCATTAATGAGTATTCGACTTGTTAAACATAAAACGTTTTTGAAAGCTTTACTGAGGCAATGACTGCTGTAACCCTCATCACACAGATTGTCAATACTGGGAGTTTCTTATAAGTTGAGACTACTTACCACTAACTGATGCGAAATGATGAAGAATAAGCAAGCACATGCAGGTCAATTTAAGAACAACGACGCCCATCTTTCCTCACACCACATTGTCCTCCTGGAGCTGAAGGTGGGACGTTGATATTATTGAACTCATCGACGACATCTCTTAAATTAATTAATGATGGCTTTATAATTATGTGGCCTGGCTCCCTGGTGTTTATCACACGTTGTTATTGGCAGGCGTTTCACCCATCGATTTTCAAAACAACACAGTAACTCTCACGGGAACTCCTCCGATTGGAAGTTCGATAGAAGACAGCAAGGGTTGTCTCAAGCTTTTATTAGCTTACACTCCCACAGAACAGCATTCCACAGAACTACCATGTCACATACAGCAACTATCATATGTAATGGGAAATGTCATTACATAATGTCAATATTGGTGTTCTTCATATTCGAATTTTCCCTGTCATTTAGACAAAATAATCTCATAATAAACGACAACCTCAGTGGTCTAGTGGATAGAACGTCTGCCCGGAGAGCGGAATGTCGGTGGTTCGATCCCCGGCCGCGTCACACCAATATGGTTCTTGTTGTTACCCTGCCTGGCGCTCGGCAATAAAGGGCTAAAACAAGGACTAGTCGGCTCGGAGTCAGTATACTGTGTCTTAGGGGGATATTCATGTTTAACTGCAGCATGGCATCTCAGTGGGCTAGCACTATGCAATGGGCATTAGTCAAACAAACACACACGCAAACACACACAAACACACACACACACACACACACACACACACACACACACACACACACACACACACACAACCCCATTTCACCTCACCTCACTTTACCTCACCTCATGCGAAACATACAGCATAGGCAGGCGTTCATCTGACAAAGTCTGGTTGGTGGTGATTTCAATGTGGTCAGTGCGCATGGTTCTGGGTCGCGTAAACCAAGCAAGGATTGGCATGGCTATTGTCATCATATGGTGCTTCAGATCAATCATAAACGTAGATGGAGGTCATCTGAGGTACTGCAATTGGGTGTGTAGAGTTGAGTCCCTGAGTAACAGAATCCATGTGTTCGAATCCCAGATTATGAACATCAGTCCTCATCACGGTCTTTTCTTTGTCAGCACTGTATGACATCACAAACGTGCCACTTGTGATGCCTGCCGATAAGGCATACTAATTTGGTGTTCAGTCTCTATGTGAGGGTGAGTTAGTTCGGTTTTACGCCGCTTTTAGCAATATTCACGCAATATCACGGGGGGGAACACCAGAAATGGGCCTCACACATTGTACCCATGTCGGGAATCGAACCCGGGTCTTCGGCGTGACGAGCTAACGCTTTAACCACTGGGCTACCCGACCGCCCCCGGTCTCTATGACTTGGTTGATTATGTGATATCGTTCTCAAATGATCGTGGCCCATGCTTTCTTCACTGGTGTGCCTTGTCCAGGATGTCATTGCAAAGGTCTATAACCACCAACTTGATCCCTTTTTTCACGGGTCAAAATTGCTGTTCACCAAACCCCATGTGATGCCATGATATGCTACGTTGTTCGTAGTATGTCCGTCCGTTGTCCGTTCTTCTCAGAAACAACAAGGTCTCGAAAACTTTGTTATGGTGTGGTGTGTAGACAAAGAGGGCTCAGATTCAATGATGCCCAAAACGATAATACTTGTACAGGTTCGAATCCGTGATTAGGATCATCAGAACCATACCCGTGCTGGTGAGTGGACAATATATTAGGAATGCATCACTTTAGGGTATCCTCCCACGTTTAGCTGAGACGCGTGATTAATATTAATATTGATCAAAGCAGCGTTAAGTCCAATTTACCCACTCATTACCTTTATGCCGAGACCCGTGAAGATTCCGGGGTAGAATAGGTCTTCAGCAACCCATGCTTGCCGTAAAAGATGACTATGCCTGTCGTAAAAGGCGACTAACGCGATCGGATGGTCAGGCTCGCTGACTTGGTTGATGCATGTCATCGATCCCAATTGCGTGATATTAATCACTGGATTGTCTGGTCCAGACTCGATTATTTACAGACCGCCGTCATATAGCTGGAATATTGCTGAATGCGGCGTTGAACAACAAACCAACCAACCAACCTTTATGCCGAACCTGGCGCGGACAGATCCCGAGTGTTCCATGCTTGCCGTATGTGACAACGAAAATAGGTAGTCAGACTCCGCCACGTTACTGTCTCTGTTGCAGCCACCTGCGACGGTGGGGATGGTTGCTCATGTTATCAGTCACTGAAGACTGTACAGTTCAGAGTGTACATTGAGTGATCATCCAGAGGATAGCATCACACTGACATCGCTGAATGACAACTCGTATTTCCAAAAATTGGCTGTTAAATGTACCTTTACGGTCTTTAGAGTTGACAAAATGTATGACAGTACATCCTTGAAACTTTATCTTCAGTTGTGTATACTTTGTTTATAAGTATATACCATGCATTAACACAGAATAAAGGGAATCAGGTCTGAAATACTTTATTTCTTCGTAAATACCATCATAGTATATATCGTTGAAGCACAGGTTAAAGATACATCGCGAAACATTTATGTAACACAATAAAGCACACTATTGTCATTGAACACATAACTCAGATGAGATATCAAATATATCTCACATATAAAACATAAATATGCATTCAGCATTATCAAACAGTTTGCTTTAAAGAATGTTTACCTTTAATGTTTATAACTGGTGGAACGTCGATTTGAAAAGTGGCATAAAAATGGTGCACTGACGCATGAACTCGAAACATATTCTACAATATAGATTTTCAATGCAAGAGAATAAAAAAACAAGTATAGATTATCCACCGAAACAGATTCCATTTGGCGTACAGGTCAAAATAGCTTTGTAAGTTACATGAATGGACCACTGAAAATCACTGATGACATTATACTATCAGTTTGCCAATTTGGGTGCCAATGTGCATCCGCGAGACTACAAATAGGACCCGCATTGACGTGTACTTGTTATATGCATTTGTGATTATCAATTACTTTGTGCTCGTGCGTTGTGTGTGCCCCAAGATGCGACCTGTTTGCATTATGTGTACATATACTAACATGTGCGTGCCTTTGCAATTGCTGGCGTTTGTTCATGAGTGTGTTTTGGATGGTTTCGTTTTTATCTTTATTTAACATTGTGAATTTGTTTTTAAATAATTTGTTCCAGATATAAGAAGAAAAAACATAATTTGTCGTCCGGTTTAGCAAAAACAAATTATCCGTACACAAACTGGATGTCCTTAGCAAGTTGCTGTGAACATAATTAACATTTTTGGTTCCTCTGTTTATGAAAGGGGGCATGGGTTGCCCAGTCGTCTAAGGCGCCGCGATTCGCTGTGCAGAGTTGTGTCACTTTGGCACGCCAGGTACCTATGATTGTGGGTTCGAATCCCGGTTCGCCCCGATTATGTGTCTAGGTTTGTCAGCACCATAACCGTGCTCGCGGGTTTCACCGAAGTGGTAAACGTCTGAGACCTGCATCACTTCGGGCTTTTTCCTCCCACATTAAGCTGACACACCGTGATATAACTGGAATACTGTTAAAAGCGGCGTTAAACCCAACTCACTCACTCACAGTTTATGAAAACAATGACAGGATTTGAAGCGCTAAACGAAACACTATACTGTCTCTAACATGGTATTCTAAGCGTAATTACAAAGTATTACCGACCTCCTCCGTGGTCTAGTGGTAGAGCGTCCACCCGGAGAGCGGAAGGTCCGGGGTTCGATTCCCGACCGCGTCATACCAAAACACGTCAAAAGATGGTACTTGTTGTTATCCTGTCTGGCGCTCGGCATTAAGGAGCTAAAAAAAGGACTGGTCGGCTAGGAGTCAGTATATTGTGTCTGAGTGGGGTATTCATGTTAAAATCTCAGTGAGCTAGCACTATAAATCGGCATCAGTCCGGACTAGTACAAGCAGCCACACAAACACACACACGTACATGCACGTCGCTATATAAGTGCAATAATCTATGACGCGACGTTAAACCCCATTTCACTTCGCCTCACCTCAGAGTATTACCAATCTGTAGGTTTGATTGTTAACTTTTCCTTGCATGCCGCAGCTAAATACTGAATATTTATGTTTAATGCCCTTTGGCCTAAGAGGGATGTAGATATCGAGTGAATGAGTGAGTTTGGTTTAAGGCAGCTTTGAACAGTACTTCGGATATCTCATGGCATGGCAGCTTCATGTGGGAAGAAAACCTGAAGTGATGCAGGTCTTGGTCGTACTTGGATGGAATCCACGAGCGCGGGAATGACACTTACAAACCTAAAATAGAATGAGGTTGAATCTGTGTTTCGCCCTCAGACGACTGGGCCACCAGCTTGCCCTTTTGAGCCGTTAATCTTTGAGGACGACAGTGGCAGTGTAATAACTATAAGTGCTTATGAAATAATTATATTCATATAGCGTCGTCGAATTTTCTAATATACATACTCGTGGTCCTATGTCGGCTGTGCTTGGACGATATTAAAGGCGTGCATTCAGACATTCGTTGAAATAGTAAATAATCATAACATAACAATTTTGGCGATGAGACACGGGAAATCGAGTGCTCTTAAACATTAACTGTTGATAATATTCGGTTGACCTTCGGACACCTAAAGTGTTGAAACGAAATTGTAACGATAACAGTATCTAACGAGATATTTTTGAAAGTCAATGTTTAACCGGGAGAACCTCGTGTAGAGTCGCTACTACATAATGCAAATAAGTACAAGGCTTAGGGGCAAAACTCTTTTCATAGCCATAGTCGATTGTACGATTCCGACTGCATCATGTACATGTGTTTACGAATCACTATCAAATGGTAATGATACAGGTGTTCGCGAAAAGGTGAATGCATCCTTCCCCACCCGTCACAAACACATGCAAGGGCAAGTCAATTGTTTACCTAAAAAAACAGTTACATTATGATACATACATCATTTCTGTCAGTGATGCGTCAAATTTTGAAAAAAAACTCAACTGAATGCTTAACTGAAGCCTTGAACGTTGTAACCTTCATCAAACACGTTTTTAACAAGAGTTGTATAACGCTTTTTGACATCTTCCTAGAACATGTTAAACCATATCCCACGTGCCTTAGCACGCGAAGTCCCCTGGGAGTGTAAAGTGATGTTGGATCAACCGAAGCATATTCACAATCATCTAAATATT